GCCATACACATTGAGTATCTTTTCTGGAGACATTTGTTGAATGCTCAAATGCGTTTATTTGATTATAACAAGTCGATTGTCCAATCGAAAAATAGGAGCATAGTGTATGTCCTAGAATACAGAAAACTTATTTATTTATTTATTTTAACACATAGGTATTGGTACAAGGAGGCACCAAATACATATGCGCCACACAAATCTCAATTGATTTGTGTGAGTGCTGTGATACTGCCCGGGTGCCCAAACCGAAGCAGATGGTTTTCTTAGAAGGTCACACCCCGAGCCTTCAACCTGAATGTCTGGCCCACAAGGCAGTGGAGCATCGTAAGGAGATGCAGTCCAATGGAAGCCAGTGACCAACGATTGGTTCATACGCCATTTGTTCCTTCAGGATACTGGAGCCCATGTGCACCATTGGTTTGGGATCCGGTTAACTAGCCGGAAATTCGCTTTTCGTCCTCTCATTTTTGTAAACAACACCCTCGCCACAAGAAGGCAGTGAGTAGGACTTCCCTGGCAGAGGCTATATACGCATGGCCATGTTAGAGCATTTCGAGGAGAGCGGACTCTCCCCACTCTCGGCGGTACCAGGGCATTTGGGGACATACAGAAAACTTACAATTGTTTGCACACATATATTGGTGAGACTTATTTATAAACAACAACACTAAGGTTGCCTAATTACATGTTACATACTTACGCCTGTTGCACCTCGTGAAGGAGCATAGGCCGCCCACCAGCATTCTCCACCGAACTTTGTTCTGGGCGATCCTTTCCAGCCGTTTCTAGTTGCTACTCATCGTTTTGATGTCTACCTCCAAATCCCGACGTTATGTGATCGTTTTCTTTTCGCTTTCGGATCCCGAGTTAGTGCTTGTTTCGTTACACAGTTTGATAATTTCCTTGTTGTTTGTCCTCTCGACTTCCTGCGTCTTTTTCTAACTTCCTCTTCAGATGTAAGCTGGTTTGTTTTCTCCCACAAAAGATTGTTGCTGATGGTATCCGGTCAACAACAGGGGGAAGTAAGCAGCCCTGGTCCTGACTTTGAATGCTTCTTTCAGTTGTTTTCCATGCTCGACTTTTCAGAGTATTCCGTCGTATGAACTCTGGATATTGACGGTTTTGTCAGGTACACCATAGTGTCGAGGATTGTCCCGTAGAGTCCTCCTATTCTAACTGTCAAGTGCTCCTCATAGTTAATGAAGTTAATATGCAGTGAAGAATTCCATTCAATTGATTATTCAGCAATGATCCGGTCTGTACACGACCGGTCCTTACGGAATCCGGTCTGTTGATCTCAAAGCTGGGAGTCTACTGGATCTTTCATCGTGTTTAGCAACACTGTTGAAAACGTCTCCCGGTACCGATAGTAGTGTAATGCCTCTGTAGTTTTCACTCGCTCAGGTCTCCCTTCTTTGTTATCTTGGTGAGATATTCTACTTTCCAGTCTGTCAGTATTTTTCCTCCCAAATCTTTCTAAATAGAACGTTGAGAATGTTTGCAGTAACTTTTATGTTTGAATTCAGTGCTTCAACTGGTATATTGTAAGGTCTGCTTTCTCACTCTGATCTGTCTGATGGTCATGTTGATTTCTCTGATCTTTGGTGGAGTGATAGCTGCAGGAAGGTCTGTGTGTACTGCTTAGATGTCCGGTGAGTTCAGTGGAGCTGGCCTATTCAAGAGTCCCTTGAAGTATTCTACCCATCTGTCTCTCAGACAACTTTTTCGCTCTACTAGCTGTGATTTTGCATGAAAATCCAAACAAAATTAACGCTTACATGATAAGTGGCTAATCATATCTAGCTCCTAATTTTATTCCTCTTCTTTCTGTTAGTACTACCTTAGTCTTTTAGATTTTCACCTAGCCTCCTCACTCTTTGATTCGATACTGTTAAAACGGTTTTTTTCACTTATATGTATGGTTGTCTATCACCACTTGATTGTGTGCTTATTCATTTGACTTTGTGTTTAGAAATTATTTCTTAAAATATACAACGAGTAGTTTAAATGCTATTATTTGCGACTGAATGTCTTTTACACCAACTTGTGCGACTTAGGAAACTCTTGGGGTCGGTAAATAGACCTAGATCAGAAGAGACCAACTAATACTTTTACGATTTGTGTAGAGGCTCTAAAAATCGAATACTGACAATATGGATAAATGATAAACCTGTTGTTTTAGTGTTCCATGTTCACAAAGTTTTGCACATCTTAGTAGATCTGTGTTCATTTTTGGATTGCAGTATCATTTAATGGGCCATTTATTGGTATGAAAGAGTTACGAAAATTCAGGTAAATAGATTACCAATATGTAGATCATATAAGATGTGGCTTCCTCATTTACCTTTTGCCCAATGTATCACTCATTGAGGTTATAAACCAGAAGGGATAGCACAAAATTATTAGTTGGTAAGGATGCTTGATACCTTCAAAAGAAATTCAACCTTCTTAGAACCAAAATAGTTAGTCGTGGACACTCTGGATTTCTATTCTCTTTTAGTAACTGTATTTTTAAAGCTACTTATTTTTGCTCTCGTTGAAATGTAAAGGAGGTTTACTCATTCAAGATCCTTTTCTAATACGATTCATTGAAAAATTTCACTTTTTCATTCACTCGAAATAATGTTTGAAAAATGGTATAAAGCCTGATCTTGGGTTAACCTAATCTTACGTGTATTCCGAAACCATTTACAAGTGGCTGGATTGTTATGATAGAGAAGTTTACGGTTTAGGTTAATTGAAATTATATACTGTTTATTCATTCATTTGCCACTGAAATACTGAAATGCACTAAAGACTAACTCTAATTAGTTCTTTTATTTCTAATGGTCATGAATGGTGTAAAAGCTGTGATGAAACTCTAGTGCCCAAACCTAAGCAGTTAATATTCTTAGAGTCGTGCTATCTAGCGTTATGCTATGGCAGTGGTCTAGTGGTTAAGCAGTTCTACGTTGAGCTACTAAATGCCGGGTTTGAACTTCGCCCCACCTACCACGGTTTAAGGACCCGGGTAGTTTCATTAGCTCTCACTTGGAAAGCGGCCCATTCTCAATCACCTGGTGAATAAGTTATTTTAAACCTATAGAATGGGAGTGCAGACACCAGGCGAGACATTCCTATGCTAATCGATGACTGAAGTAAATCTACATGTCATTTATAGCAACTTGGGTTATTACAAATCCGTGGTTGTTCCTTCGATAATGGTGACTGATTGATTTGTATGACACTCGATTTAAGTCACAGACTCATATCTGTATTTTTTATCGGACTTATTTATTCATTTAAAACAACAATTAGACCACAAAAATGTATGTTAACAACTATAACGTAGTAATCGTCATCTGGTGCTCATTTTTCAATGCGCTCCTAGTCAAATTATGTAGTTATTTCATCTGTTTATGCACAAACATCTTTATGATAGCTAAGAAATACTAATTATTTAGCTTTAATTTAGAAAGTGTTAACTAAACAACATATTTACACCAATAAAACGGATTGATGGTTTTTGGGCTATGTGGTGGTTACTCTAGCGCTACAAATTGGATCAGTGTTTTTCTAATGGAATTGTAACTCTTTTACCTACAGCATCTGTGCTTGTTTAGAATTTACTCTTGATTGTTTAATCCCACTTGTAAAACGGTGACTTGATAGAAAAACTGCCCTTAACCCCTTTTACACTTTCTGTAGCTTTGAAAACGGGACATCTCGAGCTTTCAAGCAGACGCTTGGCTAATACTAAAGTTTGGTTAAGTAATGTAGCTCAGTAGAGGACGTGTCCATCTACTCAAATTTCATGCATAAAAAGTAATAGTCGATCTGTTATGTCTAAATGTACAGTAAAAAGTTGCTTAAAACATTATTATGAATAGCATGGAAATGACTTATTACTTCAGATGTCTGTTGAGTTTCACTGAATTTATTTAGTTAAGTATTACCCGATAAACAGAATACAGCAGGTTGTTTACCTGTTGTATGTGAGATTGTCCAGCTGCTCAATCTGAAGTAGTTGCGGTGGGAATTGAATTTGCAGTCTAATTAGGAGCAGAATGTTAATGATTTCTTTATTTAACACTATGTCTTTATTATGGTACGGATTCCTAAAATAGCTGCCAAACCACCATCCCATATAATGACTCATTAAAACATTCTTATATAAAATACATTTTTTAGACTTATTAATAAAAACAAACAAGTTGATCGAAATACATGTAATTTAAATTCATTACTTTCGAAGTATTCTTGAATTTATAACTTACAAACTAAAAGTCTACTTGCACAGTTTGGATGAACTGGCTAAAGTAAATAATTATAGTTAGTGTAATGTTAGTCACAACATTATAGTTTGTCCTAAGCAGTCGCAGAATGTCATTTCAAGTAGAGCGTTAGCATTTTCTCATTCCATTGTGTAATGTGATATGTGTAGATTGTTTAATACCTGTGGTAATAAACACTCAGTACTTTTTTCTCATTCTATGATAGTATGACGAATACTTTTTGTGACATTGGTGTTGGTTTCCAGGTCGTATAAAGTGTAAAACTTTGCATATTGTAAGAATAAACAGTTTGGCTGGTATCAGTGCTTAGTTGAGAAGTTATCAATCAAACGATTATTATGAAATATTGTTATTTTAATTTGACCATTGTTTTCATAACAAGCTACCTTGTATTAAACTAGACAGGAAGCGAGGCTCAAAGTGGTAAAATTACAAACTATTCCATTTTCTGAGTTTCCTTCCAGTTGATAGATGAAAACAAATAGGTAGAATGGTTTATCAGTGTGTTTGGTATTAATGAATTCCATATAATATGTAGTTTATGTCACTTAAGTAATCGAAATGTACACATTCGAGCCATGTGATTAAACTTTATCTTGTGTTTAATGTACATTTACTGTTTCTAGGGTTCAGTACAAATATTTTTCAGGCATATAAAACCAACCATAAAAGTTGGACTTCCTATATTGATCAATATCTGACGGAATAATTAATTACACCTAAATCATGTTCCTTCGGTCCATCGTTGATAGTTTTCCGAAAACGTGGATCATTCAAAAGAGATATTTCTCAAGGATTAAAATTCCTGAATATCTTTTTGACAGAACAGTAAAAGCAGAAGAAGTTTTAAGTCGCCTTACACCTGAGGATACAGAAAGGTTGGAATTCTGTATGGCAGAATATCAAAATATGCTTGAGAAAGGTGCTGATGTACCGAAGTCTTTAAATAAAAAGAATGTTCTGGACCTGTTGTGTTGCGCCAGTTCTACATCTCGAATAAAATTTCTAAGGTTTCTGTTCAAGTGTGAGAAGCGCGATGAAAATGCTCTTATGAAAAAGTTAGAGAAGGTAGATACACAGCATGTCAATAAAATTTGTTCTGTTGAAATTTTTTTATCAGTTTAACGTTTTTGTTTTCAAATGTGTATTATACTATTCATTGAAGTAGTGGATCTTTTATTTCTTCCTTTCCATCAACGTATTAGGATTGTTTGTATTTAATGTTGTATGTCATGACGTTAATCTGAAACACTTGATGTGGATACAATGTATTTTGATCATGTAATAGGAATCCTTTGAGGTTAGGATTTTTACCATTTATTATTATGCTAATACTAACGCCATCACTGTACGTAATGTAGAACGTGACATATATGCATCACTTTATGTCACCATACCACATAAACACGGCGAGATAAAATTATTCCATGACGAATCCTAGAGTAGTATAAATGGTAGCCGTATCATTAGTAGTATAAAATAGGTTACGCATAGAAAACGAATGTATAAACAGATTTCAGCGCTCGGGTTTTGGAGGAATACAAAGATTTGAATGCACCTCCGTCATTACACACGATTTTGAGCTAATATCAACCGACGTTTCTAATGATCGGTCATGATAATGACGCGGACTTCAACCAAGTAGGCTACACATACTACCATTAATTAGCCCAATTGTCAATGACGTTTTAGACTTTTTCGTTTCTTAGTTTGTTTGTCCGTAGCATTCTTCAAGCCTCCTACACTAGGCAACATACCCCGTCAAGGTAGGCAGTAGTTGGACGTACACTGTAAAACTTCCTCTTGGTACGTACCTTAATGTGTTAACTTTTTTTATATACAGGGAACTTCCTACTAATTTATCTGCCCTAGTGAATTACAACTTACAAGCCTAAACTCAGTCGTCTCAAAACATATGAGCGATTTTCCAAGGACACCTTGGATCAAATACTGGTAAATTACGATTATAATCTATTCATAAGGTCAAAGTTAAGCAAACGCAAGGTAAGACAGTGCAAACTGCTGCGCAGTAAACTCGTTTGTTTGACGGATAGATATCTCTCCTGCACCACAAATGACGCAATTTGACAAAAGCCAATCGATCTTTCTGAATCGGTGAAGAGATTTCGCCAAACATCAAGCTGCTAGTACTGATGAGACTTTCAAGATAAGTGAAGCGTTCGATACGTTCGACCACTTTACTATACTATCAAACTTGCATTGTATCCGTCAAGGTTGTCCGCTTCCCAATTATTTTAACTTCATTGTAAACACGTTTTGGAGATTACGCTTTCATCGTTTAACTTTCCAAAGGTTAATCTTCTACTATGAAGTTCGCTTGTTGACTTAGAATACGCAAATAACACAGTCCTTTTTGGTGAATGTGCTTAAAAAATGAAGAATCTTCTCACAGTCCTGAGCGGAAGTGCTAGTATGATTGGAGTGCGTTTCTCTCCATCTAAATGCAAAATTTTGCTTCAGGACTAGTCTGCACCAGAGCCTGAATTAATGATAGAGTGTAAAGTGGTTGAGCGTGTTGAATGCTTCACTTATCTTAGAAGTCTCATCAGTACTAACGGCTTGATGTCTGACGAAATCTCTTTACCGATCCAGAAAAATCGATTGGCTTTTGTAAAATCGCGTCATTTGTGGTGTAGGAGAGATATCCGTCTGTCAAACAAACGATGAGTTTATTGTGCAGCATTTCTCTCTCTCGTCTGGATGATGTTTTGTTTAAGATACTTGCTTCCTTTGTTGATTGTCAGTTGATTTCGTAATAGACCTGATCCTTGAGTTGTCAGTCCTATGCAACCGGTGTTTATTCACTTAACTGTCAAATGAATAAAACTATCTTAACGTAGTATACAAAATCGGCATTATGAATACCTATATCCTCCGATAAATTACGGTGACCCATTTAGCTGGTCCAGAGGGATTGACTTTAGAGGTCTTTAAGGATGGTGGTCCAATATTAGCAACTAGGTTAACTAATATTTTAGCTAAAACCTGGGAGTTGGATGTAATCCCATTTGATTGGTCGCAATCACTGATTGTCTCAATATGTAAGAAGGGGTCAAAATAATCCTGTGATAACCATAGATGGATTAGTTTAACTAATATAGCATCTAAAATACTATCCTCAATAACTATCGTGCCCCTTACATAGACTCGTGAACTGCGAATACGAGAAAACCAGGCTGGCTTCAGACCTGATCGTGGCTGCATCGACCACATATTCACTATTCGTCAGATTTTAGAACACAAACTTGCTTATCGGCGTCCGAAAATGGTGGTCTCTCTTGACTTAAAAGCAGAGTTTGACTCTGTTGACCGAGAGGTTCTGTGACAGTGTCTGTCATTGAAAGGCGTACCTCAGAAGTACATAAACCTTGTGGAAGCTCTTTACTCGAACACTACTAGTCGAGTCAGAGCTTATGGCGAACTGTCATCAGATTTCACAACCTCAAGCGGTGTCCGTCAAGGCTGTCCACTTTATCCATTTTTGTTTAACTTCATCATAGATCTACTGATGGAAATAACGCTCTCATCGACTGAGTTCTCGCGTACTGATCTCCTACCAGGAGGTCCACTCATTGACTTAGAATACAAAGTCAGTAAGTCAGTCAGTAACAACGTGGAACTTCGTACGTACGTACATCAGTTCGAATTGCCATACCACATTAGCACAGAGATTCAGTTATCGATTCAAATCCCGTAGTGGTAGAGGTAGTGAAAGTATAAGTAGTGATAGGGAACATTAGGTTTTGATGATGTTATTCAAGGAGTATAGTCCAGTGGAACAGATTCGGAAAGAAAATAAAGGACATGAAGAATTCAGAAGATAAGAGTTTGAGAGAACACAAAGAGTGGATGCACCTGCGTCATTACAAACGATTTTGAGCCATGTCATTCAAGGTCTCTAACCATCGGTTGCTATCATCTCGCGGTCCCCAACCAGGTAGTCTACACCTACCAACATAGCTCATTCCACTTGTCAGTGACTTCATGGATTTGTGTCATGTCTTGGTCTGGCCGCCCCTAGCTTTCTTCCAACTTACTCCTACACCACAAAACATAGCACGTCGGGGCAGTCGGTGGTCGGGCATGCGCAGCACATTTCCCAGCCATCTCAACTGATTAAGTTTCACTACTTCATCAATTGATTTGCCATCCTTACCTAGTACCCGTTTCCTAACAACTGCATTACTTACTCGGTAGTCACAGGATATACGAGCGATGTTTCGAAGACACCTATGGTCAAGTACTAGTAACCTACGAATATCCTCTACTCTTACTGGCCATGTCTCACTGCCATAGAGTAGGATGGAATGAACTGCTGCACAGTAAACCTGTTCTTTGGTTGATAGAAGGATATCTCGCCTACGCCACAAATGACGCAAGTTGGCAAAAGCTAGTCGAGCCTTCTGTATCCGTGCTGAGATTTCGCCACACATCAGACCACAAGGGCTGATGAGACTTCCGAGATAAGTGAAGCGGTCGACACGCTCAACTACTTCATTCCCTATCATTAGTTCAGGTGTCGACACATTTCGAGGGATAGAATCGCATGCCGAACATGATTGCTTATAGTGGTCAGCAGACTCGGCATTTTGTCAGCGTCTTTACCAAATAGAACTATGTCATCGGAATATTCTAAGTCAATAAGTGGATCTCCCGGTAGAAGTTCAACCTCTGGAAACTTAGATGAGGAAAGTGTCATCTGTAAAAGGACGTCAACAACAAAGTTAAACAAGAATGGAGAGAGTGGACAGCCCTGACGAACATCACTTGAGGCAATCAGTTCTGATGACAGTTCGCCATAAGCTCTCACCCTACCAGTTGTGTTCGAGTAGAGAGCCTTTATAAGGTTAATGTACTTCTTTGGTACTCCTTTCAGTGACAAACACTGCCATAGAACCTCACGATCAACAGAGTCGAATGCCGCCTTAAGGTCGAGAAATACTACCATTGTGGGGCGTCTGAATGTGTGTCTATGTTCTAGGACCTGACGTAGTGTGAATATCTGATCTATACAACCACGTCCAGGTCGAAAACCAGTCTGGTTTTCTCTAGTCTGCTCTTCACGAGCTTTGGTTAGGCGTCGAAGTATTACTGAAGCTAATATTTTAGACACTATATTAGTCAAACTAATTCCTCTGTGATTGTCACAGGAGGACTTTTGTCCTTTGTTATAGACTGGCACAATCAGTGATTGAGACCAGTCAGATGGGATTACGTCCAGTTTCCAGATTCTACCTAAGACCTCGATCAATCTCGCTGCTAATACTGGACCACCATCCTTAAAAATATCAGGGGTAAACCTGTCAGGGCCTGCTGCTCTCCTACACTTTAGATTACCTATAGCTTTTTCAACTTCGTAAAGAGCCAGAGGACTTACATTAACTTGCCATTCAGGTCGACTGGAGATCGTGGGAAACTGATGTGTGGCTGAAGGTCAGTTGAACTGATCTCTCAAGTGTTCTGCCCATCGATCCAATCTCCTGGATTGAGAATGTATAATATGTCCATCTTTCTCTGAGATAGTTTCGCTAACGGTTGGATTCCTAATACCGGTTTCCTTGACAAGTCTGAACAGTTGCCTACTGTTACCTATTGCCGCTGCCTTTTCCATCTCTCTTGCTTTCTCTATCCACCACTGTTCACGATCATTGCGTAGGCTTCTAGTGAGCTTACGCTTAAGCTGACTCCGCTCTTCGTTATGTTCAGAGCCAGATGGAGTGAGTTTTCGAGCATCTATCAGTGCGGTAGACGATGCTAAGATCCAGTGTTTCTCCCTAACCTTATGGTTTACTGTACTTGCAGACATCACTGCTGTTTCTACAGCTTTTCGGATGTCATTCCACGCTGCCTCGGGGTGGGTATCACTTACATGGCTGCCTAACTGTTTTTCTAGTTGTTCCTGAAATATACTCTTAGTTTGACTATCGTTAAGTAGGACCCTGAGGGGTTTCCTTGTACCATCTTTCCTACGTCCAGTAAGACGTAGAGAAATACGCGCTCGCACCTGAGCATGATCTGAGTCTAAGCATGTACTCCAGAACGAACGACAGTCTTCTATCGAGCCCCTCCATCGGTGGCTGATAGTGATGTGATCTATTTGAGTGCAACGTTGGGACGAATTAGGGGGTTGCCATGTTAAAAGATGTTTTTCCTTATGCTTAAAGTTAGTGTTTGCAAAAAAAACAGGCGGTTGTCTGAGCATAGCTGCAACAGACGGTCGCCGTTATCTGTTCTTTGAGCCGCGACACCATAAGATCCACCCTGGTGTCTTAACTTTTCGCTTAGTTTACCTACTTGAGCATTAAAGTCACCAGCCACTATTACTACATCTGAACGCCTAGCTTTTCGAAGAAGGTCGGAAAGCTTTCTGTAAAACTCATCTTTTACATCATCTGAGCTGCAGTCAGTGGGAGAGTAGGCAGAGACGACGAAGAGGCAACGACGAGTGTCCCTATCTTTTCGAGTCCTTACTGTTCCGTTTAGTCGGACAGCGCACAAACGACCGTCTACTGGGATCCAGTCTAAGAGAGCTAGTTCTGCCCTAAGACTCAATGCTATACCTACGCCAGCGAGGCCACGGGAAGCGGCATCAGGGCTTCCAGATACACGAAGCGTAAATCGGGTTGGTTCGTTACTTTGATATGGTGAGGTCAAATGAATGGCACTACTCGGATCCTGTGTGCGCGTTTCCGAGACGCAGCACACATCGATGGAGCGAGATTCTAAAATCCTAGATATGGAAGCCTGTTGTCCTATTTGGCACAGTGTTCGGACGTTGAAAGTTCTTACGTGTAGTTTGGAGCGTTGTTTCAGTAGACCAGGAATAACATTCCGCGTACTCGAATCGTTTGCAGTAGTGGGGCGAGGTGATAAAGGGACGTGAGAAGGGTTGGTCGTGGAAATAAGAGTGTAGGAAGGATTTGAATGTGACCAACTTGGTCTCGTGTGCTGTTACGGGTATGAGTGCTGATGTCACTTCCTGGTTGCCCACACCGTGGAAGGGTATTTCTTGAGGCACCTGAAAAGGAAATCAGATTAGTGTTAGTCTTGGAGACCTGGGAGAGTGACCGCAGAGCCCAAGGGACAACTGCTTGAGGCTGGTCGCGCACGGCCTTTCTGTGGGAAGTTTTTAATTTGTTAGCTCCGCTCTTCAAAAGGCCTTACCGCCGGAGACGGAAATCCGTGGGGTAAGGTGAGGTGTGACATTTCTAGGGTCGACCTTTTCTAACCCCTTCCTTCCTTGTGAGAAGGCAGCATCGCTGCAGATGCTGGTTGTCCGAGGGAAAGACCTTACTGCTGTCACACCTCTGTACAGTCATCAGTACGACTTCGCCCTCAGAACTTGAGTTGCTGCTTTTAATCTTACTGTTCTCCAATCGACCTGCCTGGCATGGTAGAACCTGCAGGAACATGTGTTCCAGCCAATATAGCTCGGTTGGGTCATCACGATAAGTAAGCCCGACCACCACGTCAAGGTAGCAGCTACGGTCGGGACTTAGAATACACAGATGACATAGTCCTGTTTGGTGAAGACGCTGATAAAATGCAGTCTTTTGGTAGCACTGAGTGACAATACCAGGATATTTGGGATGCGTTTCTCCCACTCTAAATGCAAGTTGTTGCTTCAGGACTGGCCTGTGTCAACACCTGAACTAAGGGTAGAGGGTGAAGTAGTCGAACGCGTTGACAACTTCACTTATCTTGGAAGTCTGATCAGTCCTAATGGTTTGATGTCCGACGTTTGGCTTTCGCCAACTTATGTCACCTATGGCGAAGGCGAGATATCCGTCTGTCAATAAAAGAACGAGTATACTGCGCAGCAGTTCGTTCTATTTTACGTTACGGCTGCAAAACATGGCCATTAAGAGTTGAAGATACTCGCAAGCTACTAGTATTTTATCACAGATGCCTTAGAAATATTGCATGCATCTTCTGGGATCATCGGGTAAGTAATAGTGAGGTTAGACGCAGGGTATTAGGGAATGATGGTAAATCAGTTGATGAGGTTGTGAATCTTCACCGACTGAGATGGTTGGACCACGTGTTGCGTATGCCTGAACACCGATTACCACGACACGCAATGCTGACTAGTGTTGGAGACGGATGGAAGAAAGTTAGGGGCGGCCAATCCAAAACGTGGCATCAGTGTTTGAAGACACTAACTTCTGGGCTGAGCCATGTTGGTAGATTCAGACTGCCTGGTTGGTGTCCGCGTGACTATCGTAACCAATTGTTGGAGACTCTTGGTGACATGGCTCAGAATCGACCACAATGGCGTAGGTGTATACACTCTCTATCTTCTCTTAAACTGAGATTAGAACTGTTTTATACCTTTCGTGTCTACGCACTAATTCTTTCTCCCTGTATCATACCCTTGTATGAAATTTTTCTTATATGTATGACTACCGTTGAAGTGACTATTTCTATGAATTCGGTGTTCATTGTTTTGTGCTAATGAGATATTACAACATGAACTGATGCATATATGTGCCTGGTCGTGCGTTATAGATAACTGATCGACTACTGTGATTTATCAAACGCTGATTCCAAACCGAAACTATGTAAAGATTATGTTTAATTTAAAACTGTGTGTTGAAATAAAAAATTGTGTAAAGTTAGGTACTTTTATTATTATATTTACATACTCTATATTGAATCTTGACATTGTTTTTGTTAGTTTACCACTCTTGACATGTATTCGTCAGTAATATTACTGGTTTATAGAAAGAAATATCTAAACTTTCTAAATGTAAGATGAAGTTTACCAGACATGTTTTATTCTTACCATACTAGGTAACTGTTGTCCCTGAAAGAACACCTGGATCTTGTGACCGTATTCTTCGAATAATTGATGATAAATGTTCCCGTTCGCATTGGGATTTTTGGCAAGCTTCTGAAATACGATGTCCCGATTCAGCTCAGCCTTTGTTATTTGATTTCTCGTATGAATCTGAGATGAGATTAGTTGATTTAAGGTCTCTTTCTAATCAAATGACATATGTTCTGAACAGAAATCGTATAATGAGACCTCATCCATTCCATATAGTGCTTTGTGGTTTAAAACAAGGAACAAATCAGTTTGCTTACATGGAAAATGCTTTTGGTGTGACTGCGAAGGTTTGTTTATTGATTTTTTTTCAAGTTATAAGTAACCATCATAAGAACTTGTTCACGATATTAGTGGGTAGTAGTCAGTACTGCTTCTTATTATTAGGCTACTTAAGGATACATTTACGTTCTTTAATATTCTGTTTTCAGACATGTTACTATCTTTAGACTTTTTTGTATATAGTGATAGTAACATGTAAATTCAGAAGTCATACATTATGTTTAAATATACAATGGAGGTGTTTTTCTATCACTAAGATCATCTAAATACACCAATTTAAACAGCTTGACACTTACATATTATACACTATGTCTGTTCATTATTTCACGACTTAGGATGAGTAGTATTTCTGAACTAGTGTTTGTAAGTGCATCCTGACTTCGGATGGTTTTCTGAAGCTCATAAAGACGAAATTTCAAATATGATTCAAAATCTCAATTATTGGTGATCTCGTCACAATTTTCTAAAAATCTATGTCAACACTCCTGTCTATTTTCTATCCATACAACCTCGTATTAACCAAATATCTAACTTTCGAATTCTGCTAACTAATCACCCGATTACTTAAGGTGATTATTGATACTTTCCGTCCTATATTTGATCAACAAGCTTTCTAACTTACAGTCTTATGTCTCATTTTTTTGATGTACAATATAAAGCTATCAACTATTAAAAGCTTGAACGAGTTTCCGTGGACGATCACTCCCAATCATTTTTCCCATGAATATCCTATTCATGATTTAGAACAGCCTGTTATACTGTTGTCTCCAAATGCACGCCAAACATTTGAAGCTGGTGAATATGACCATAATGCTGCTTATGTCATTGGGGCAATAGTGGATAAAGCTGTTCGAAGACCAATTTCTTCTGCAATAGCTCGACAGTTACGTAAGTATTAACTGATCTGCATTTGGTAATTATCAAGAAAATATCAGAGTTTATTGCGTAAGACTGAGTATTAACTTAGTGGACTCATATTCTTAGCCTTTGTTCTTATATTTTTCGTATCGTGTAAATAAAAAAATAAAAAACTTCGGTAGTCAAGTTAGGCAAGTAGAGTTTCCTTATCCTTGTTCTCAGTAGCATTCAGATAAATCAAGACTTGATTCCATCGAAAAAGATGTCCTTGTGTCATTGTCTTACTGATTGAACGATTAGCGATTCCGAGGTTCCTTTTAATTTGTTTTTCTAGGTTTCAATTTTTACCATTTATTTCCTTCTTACATTGGCTTATATCTTGCTATATTCGTAGTAATTTACTCTAAACCGTAATCTTAAATTCAGAATCTATGACTTGATGTTCTAAAATCGTTTTCTAACTTGTCTCTTGTAATCTGGAGATTCTTGTTTTTTGGGCCTTGATTAGTTGCTTTGTAAGTGTTGTTTGTCTCGCTGCTCATAGTAGTGTATACAGTAACATTGATATCTGTGTTATTTCGAAAGCATTTACAAATAATCAACCATAGAATTTCTGTTTTTTTATTGTTATAAGTTTTTTCGTAGTAGAAACGTATCATATATTTCGGTGCTGTGTTGCTCATTTAAAACTCAGTCTTTTTTTAAACAAGGTTAGTCTTTTAAAATTTACACTGTTATTTGCAGGCCAAATTATAAACTACTTCATATCATAAATTGTGTGTGCCAAATGAGCTACTAATACAATCTCCTTAATCACTGTGATCTTAATAAGCAAAATGTTAGTTCCTACTTAGTTTATCTCACCAAGTGTTTGCATCCTCGTCTCGTAATAATACAAAATTTACCTGGTATACTAAGACAATCGGTAAATGCAGATTATTTAATAACTTTGATACAATGTGGATGCAAGAACATGGTAACTGTCAAGAACACATACTCTACATAATTCCGTGCTCAATAACGAAATCCATCTTTCTACCAAACTACAATATCACTTCGTCAGAGGTTCTGGATGTAAAAGAAACTAGTAAAAAGCACCGGCTATCAAATATTTGCAGTATTATTGTGTAAACGATTCATATTTAAAGAAGCATCTGGCAGTATTTATTAGTATACTACTGCACACCGTTTCGATGTGCTCTATCACATTTTGATTGTGATATGCAATCTTCCAACTAACTACTATATATATATATATATATATATATATATATATTCTGTAGAGGTTTAATCCGCCAATGGCGTGTCATTTCTTGACTTATCTTTTAGCTGAGATTTGATCATACAGTCACTCCCCCTGTTAGCATCCTCAAGCCAGTTGGCTTGTATTCACATCGCTGAAAATTTACTTGTAAAATGGTGTATACAAAATATGTAGATATTTTTGTTTTTATGATAGAGATAAGTCCTCTGAATAGCGGAAGAATAATCTTTTTCCACTGTATTTATCGAATCGTATAATCTTGATTTTACTAGTATAGTTTATCTTCCCATATACATTAAGCATTGGGTTATTATTTACATTTAACCTTTTTTCTGTTTCTATACTACCGTATTTGTGATTATTCCTTCTTTGTTTCCCTTTGTGAACTTTATTATTATTATTTTTAGTGGTTTACACCCTCGATGTAGCTAGGTCGTTAGATAATTTGTTTATATTTTTATTGAGTATTCTTGTATTAATTACATGTAAGGATCTTATTTTTTTCAATCCCTTAATAATGAGCTTTATGCATTTTTGTTCTTTTTATCAACACCTGATGTCTTCTAGGCATAAAATGTGTCAGTTTACCTTTGGATCGCTATTTAAGATGGGGAAGTGGCAAAAGCAAAACACTAACCATAAACTGCATTCATGCGATAATGTGTGCAGCCAAAGAAACTAATGGAGACTGGAAGAGAGCTTTGCTTGAAAATATTCCTTCACGATTTTATGCTCTTCCATCAAAAGATTCTGTTGTATATAAAAGTACATAAAGCCACATTTCTCTTTACGTATGCTTTTTGATAATACATAATCCTCGTTAATATGTAAGTAGTCCAATTCATACTACTTTAATAGATGTAAACGTAGCTCTAATATTGCACAAACATATACCAATTACTTCTGATATTCTTAAATGACGTATATGACACTTTGTTTATAATGTATACAATACCGAGAACACTTTCATTTCATCAACTAATATCCCAATCCTTGTTTTTTTTACAAATGAATACCGAATCGGATAGAAAACCTATATAGTGTCTGGTACATTTTCAAGCTTGGTAAATTGCAATCGATGTCGCGTAATATATGCAATTGGTTATACTGTTTGAATACATCAACGTACTGTAAAATGTGGTAGATTTAGTTGTCATTTCTACAGCTTGTTTCAAAGCTGTTCCTTGATATTGATCTGGAATCTTCGTAACTAAAGATAGTTATGTCAATAGAACGGTCTATGTTAATACAAACACCTGTCTTTACCTCTTTAATAATCGTTTAAAAACCCAGAGTAGCAAAGGTACATTATTAACATGTATTATACTTGTTATAAAACCGCCGCTTGAACTATGACATTAATTTCGTAAAACCAATGGCAAGTAAAGCTCTACTCCACTCGTGCTTTGTAAACTACCTTGAAGTAGAATATTTAGTGATTGGTTTTAAAAATTAATGTATTGAAATGTTTTTGATAACCCTTACAAGCTAATGGTAGTTTTCTCGAGTTTTTTATGTGCCAGAACACGCTAATAGTGTAATGGTTCTAAGCTGTTCTGCGGCCACTATAGTAGTACTAACAAGTATGATTAATATATAAGTTAAATTGTGGCACCTTTGGAACTTCGGTAATGTAAGTTCACTAGGCCAAGACGCCTGCAAATGAGGACTGTTGTTTGCTATATTTACTATGTCTTCAAAATAATTACATTTCTCACTTTTCAGATTTTAGTACAAAGTCTGTTCATGTTGTTATGTGTGATTGATATAGAGCTAGTCATTTAAAACTCAAGTCGATTATCGTTCCCTGATAAGAAGTTATCATACTAACGAATTATCATCTACGAGACCTTATGCAATAGTATAATTCGTATAATGTTCTACCACAATCTGTAATTATATCAGTCAAGTTCTTGACTACTCGATTGAATCAGTTCAAATTACGGTCACACAAGGGTACCAGTAACGTGTACACTCTCATTAGCTGGAATAATTAGTGTTAATTTAGTCTCTCAATATCAATATTGGTCCATTAAATTAATGATAAGAACGTTAATTTAATCAAATACGAGTTCTTCAGATTTCATTTAAACTTAAGCTTTAATTGCCTACCCAACCGATAAGTCAACCTATATTCTGTCGATGGTTAAAACATTACGTGGAGTTATTCATCAACGATGGCAAGTTTTATTTGTCAAACCGAATGAGTATTACTTTTAAGAGCTATTATTCACCCATTACTTGCAACAATCAACTCCTGGTGATATACAGCCTTTTCGTTTTAAAACTAAATGACCAGGAATTTATCATTGTTATATATGCTCACTATAATTCTCTTATTTTACTGAAAGCTCAGAGAGACCATACTAGAATATTATCATACTATTCACAGTTAAATGTGTAGACTTACATTGATATTTCCAAATATAAATTCGTAAAGTTGTAGAAATAAGGAAGCATTACGGAAGTTTCTCAAGACTTAGAGGAGCAGTTATTGTAAACTGCATGATAAGTCATTCGATGGAAATGTCGTCCGTTCATCTAACACAAGTATTTTGTCGATGTACTGAGTCCTAAATGCAAATTGAATGTAACATATAAGTTGGTGGCAAACGTCATAGTATAATACAAGCATTTAGATAGGGTGATACTATATGTAGACACTTTTTTCCATTATAAGACGTTTGCGTAAATACGTGAACGTAGAACGGGTGGGATAACATACAATGCGATGTTGAAAATAAAAAATTTAGCTGTTATCTTGGTTAAGTGTCATTTGTCACCATATAGTGATTGGGTCATGATGACTGCTTACATAATAAAACGCAATAGACTGCATGACCGTTTTAGAATCATATTTCCGGGATAAACATTTTATTAGGATTACGCAAAATTTCCAGGAAAAATGAAGTATTTAACACCAAGTTGACTGAACTCTTCAGGTAGAGTTTCGAGATAAAACCGTCTCACACTCCTCTCTGCAAAAAATATCCGTGAGGATTTACAACAGTAATTCACTTAAAATCCTCTTTTCCAGTTAACATGTCGTTTAGCTTCGAAAGTGTATCTCTACACATATGAATTTCACTCAAAAGAGTATCTATGTTTTCGAGTTGTTCCATGAGTTCTACTATAAGCCCCTGGATTATTTCGTCATCGATGATTTCTTGTTTTTGACTTCGTGCTTCTAAATCAGCAAAAAACGTAGATACCTAAGATCAAGTTACTGTCAATATCACATCGCTTGTTACTTTATCGATCACAAACTGCTTACACTCAGCCATCTCTCTGCGATATGTGTCGCGACATCTTTGTATTTCTTCTATTGTATCGTTTGCCTTATCTTCAATTAACTTCCTAAGTTCCTTCGTGTCCATTTCCGCGCTCTCAATAGACATTGCGCAGTAAAGGGTACTGAGATTGAAATGTTTCCTTTCGATACTTTAAAACAATCTGGCATTCTTTGGAAACTAAAACCTTCATATTTATTCCCTACCATTCAAGAGTATGACAATTAAACTGACGATACTATTGTTAAGTTCAGACGAAACATTTATTGAACTATGTTAACCAACAACGCAGTTCTCCACCGAGATCAGCATTATATAGATATATGCTTAACATACAATCCTAATCATCTCTAAAACGAAAGTGGTTAAGTGTCTTATTTTTCACTTAAATGAACATCCATAGATTATAAATAAGTTATACATATACATCCTAGGCTTTCAATATTAGTTAACTTATCTGTCTTCTATTTTTATAGGTGAATCTGGAAGAAAATTTTTGTGAAACCTTGAGCTATTAAAATTTCCCTAAAGCCAAACCAACTTACTAGTCAACCAGAAATGAAATGCCTTAATCCTGGTACATTGACTACTAGAAGTTGATTTCAATGACGGAAATCATCATAGCATCAAAGTCAATGCGTATTAGTTGATGTACACAAAAGGGCTGCGATGTCGCTTCCTTCAGAGCTTCGTTCTCTCTCGATCTATATAAGGTATTTGCATGAAATGAGGGAAGGACAGCTTATTCACAACGTAGAGTGGAGCGCATGAGTTACACGTAACACTAAACACGTTTGTTTGCAACAGCAGTTAAGTTCGATTTTTAAAAAAAAACTAATATCTGAGGAGCAATTACGGTTTCCAGCAATTTTGTCTCAATTCAGTATTGTTTGCTATCTCCAGATTTGTGATTAATTGTGAAGTTAACAAACTTCGCAACGCTTCCCTTAATAAATACCAACTAACGTACGGGTTCAAGCAGAAGTGGATGTATCATACGTAAGCTTAGATCCATCCATGAGTAAGACTACTTCAATCTCCTTATTGTGGATGATAAACAATCTACCAACTAAAAATGTACTTATTACTCAGATTTGCTGAATAACTTGATAAACGATGCAATGTACGTAGAAATATGTAATATAATAATATATTCAGTGTTCGGTTGGTAATGAATATATTTGACAGTATGAAGATGCTGTAAGCATTTCCTGCCAGTTCCAGGAATAATTTAGTTAGACACATCTTATTTACACAGTTCGATTTCAAACATCTAGTGTGTTAGTTTCTTCGTAGGAGCAGAAGTATCTTGCATACGTTCAGTTTAATGCAGAATTAGTTATGTAATTTATAAAATCGCCCCAGTAATTCCTGCTGCATCCACATTTTTTGGGTTCATTTATTAGTTTAAAATCATTGTTTAGGTTGGTATTGGCGCACTTGAAGTGGCATCGGGCTCTAATCACACAATACTCAAATATGAACGAGAGACACTTGAGAAAATAGACGTTAAATATTTAAAGCGGAGAGAACGCGAACAATGAGAAAGGGTGATAATAATGAATTGACCTAAACTGAGTAGATCGGATGGCATGGCTCAGCCATGCAGGCGTGGTTCCTGCTGAATTTTACCTTATATCTTTTATTCACATTAAATACATCATTCTATTTCTAGCCTAAGCTTGTTCTCCATCATGTATTGTTAATTGCTACTCACGCCGACCAGAGGAGGAAAAACAGTTTTCAAAGAAGTCTGTCCTAACTAAAAACTTGAGAAAAAACGTTTCCTCTGTCCCACTTCTTCTAAATGGTATCCAGAAGGAAACACATAGAAGCCGCAATAGCAAGGCTCGATCGGTTTCTAGCGGGACACATAGCCTGACCTCCCAAGTCGTCGACAACCCTCCGGAATCCTGCAGTATGTGTATTTGCTTCTCCAAGCAACGTTGACGATATAAAAAGGGAATCCTGACCCCATAAAAGTAGTCGACAAATTAAAGGCCGATCACAGTGACAGATCAAGTAGAGCAAAAGCTCTGAACCAAAAAATCGTTTTGAGCATGACATTGTTCTGATAAAACAGCTATTTAATCAATTCATGCCTTAAAAATATCTCCGGAGTCACCTTGCCAAAGGTATTCTAACGAACTTGAAGCCTAATCAATCCAGACGGCTGAAAGTAGTAGTAGGGACCTAATTTTACAGAATGGACATAAATTAAATAGTTCGGGAATTTTTATCCGTAAGGACTTGCCGTTGAAATATCGCGTAAAAAGACGAGAAGCCGAGAAAGAACTACAAATTAGGTTAGACGCTGGCGAATATGACCTACAAATGGTAAATTTTCGGGTTGTGAGGCTTCGACAGAGAATGATGCCGAAGCCACTCTGGGTGAAGCACGAAGCCACTTAAACAGGCTTCGGATTCTTTACACCAATGCCCGAAACTTGCTTAATAGGCGATCGGAACTAGGTGAACAGATTGACTCTACAAAGCCGGACATAATCGCAGTCACAGAAACCTAGCTGACGCAGTCTAGAGATGGTATAGAACTTGATTTTGAGGCTTTTACTTTATTAAGGGCCAACAGAACTGTGGTGTTTGAGTGAACTAATGATTCCTTGGTACTTGTTAAATGCCTGATTTCGAATTTCAAATACAGTACATTTGTTAGTGCTTGTGTAGTACTTCTTGATTGAATTGCGTTGCTTCTGGGATTCTTAGTTAGTACTATAATTCAAATAGTCCTAATCATCATAAGAACACAAAAGCGTAAAAGAGGGAGAGTAGCTCTATTCATTAGGAATCCTATCCCATTTGTCATTATCGACAGCGTATCCCATGAGAGTGGGACGTGTGGAGTGGTTGGTTACCGCTTGAAATGCAAGTGACATGGGCTGCTGATTGATTTGGTCTATTGCAGTCCAAGCTATGAGGTAAATGATGTCCTGCTAAACAGGCTCAATACTTGGTCGCATAATGGTCGATGTGTATTGGCATTGGGCTGTAACACGAGACAATATGGAAAATAGACATTCAAAATTTAACGCTGAGAAATACCTAATGATGAAGAAGGCGAGAAGATTGAATTTAATGAATTCGAGTTGGTCGGATTGCATGGCTCAGCCATGCAGGCGTGGTTCCTGCTGAATTTTACCTTATATCTTTTATTCACATTAAATACATCATTCTATTTCTAGCCTAAGCTTGTTCTCCATCGTGTATTGTTAGTTGCTACGATGCAGCGAGTTGATGTAGGTGTTGATGTGACTTGCTTATAAGATCTTATAGATCAGGCAGTTCTGTCATAATTAATCTACACTTTTTGGATTAAGTGTCTTAATAGAGCGGTACTAATATCATGGTAGAATATAATTATACACACTAATCTTTGCTGTCGCAGTAATAGACCTAGTCCATAACTTTGTTTTCTCATGATGTAACTGCCTAATCTATCAGACTTTACGTGGAAATCACATGATTTTTTGTTCTGACTCGTACTTTTGTGAGTTCAGTAATTTGTTATTCGATACTTCTGAAGTGCGTCTTTGAGCTGGATAAAGACCAATGTATTTCGTTTGAAAAGGAAAAAAATTACATGGAGTGATCACACATACATAGACGAACTATGCCATAGTGATTAAGCTTTTCCGCGTTCACCACTTCCGACCCTTTCTATGCTAATACATGCTGAAAATATATCTTTCCAGCAATTGCATTTTTGGTTTTAATCAATGCATTTGGCTGTACTGAACAGAACTTTATTCGATCGGCCAATCTACATATTTTAATGGTCATCTTTGAATAATAGCTTGATAGACAAGGTCTCAAATGTTTGAGAGAATGTCTCGAGTTCGAAGTTGAACATCAACTGTATACTTATAATTATTGCAGCCTATAAACAGATTATGTGTATACAGGATTTCTGGCGAAACAATTTCGGGTTTCAGAAACGGAATTATACACACATTTATATAATCTTTCAATAATGCTTGTCATATTTAAAGACGTTTATTTATGTCCGAAATATTACAAAGTTAAATTTAAGGAAATGAGAAGAAAGAAAATTGGGTTAGGTAAATAATTTAGTGAATATGTTTGTGAAACACAATAAGAATACTCGGCATCATTTTCGCTGCAAAGGAATGAAAAATACTAGTCGGTATTAAAATAGAATTTCACGGTTAAATAAGACATTTGGCAATAATAGTGCATTATCGTCAAATATCAATATGTATAGATCATATATACGTGGTATCAGACCACCCCTAATTGACTGGCTAAGTTCATATCTGATAAATCGGCATTTTGAAGCCAGGGTCAAATTCAATTTATCACACGCTATGTGTAACGGAAAGAGAACGATGAAATTCATCCACAGCCTTTTTGGACAGTATTTTCATTTATTTGTTTCTTCTCCCTGTCATATATTTTAACCTTTGTTCAAATCTCGTTTGAGCTTTTATTATGTATTTTGATTAAAGACGTATCATTTTGTTACCTATTTTCTATTGCATGTTGCCGGACGACTGACAGTGAGGTCGTGTTTGACTAAGCTCAAAGTCACGGCGTGATTCAGTGTGACTGTTAAACTTTTGACTGTCTGCTTGGGAGGATTTCTGGAATCCCTGCAGATAGATATTTGATCCCGTTTGTTGGGAATATATTTGTTGATTATCAGGTATCAAATCCTTTGGTATTGACTGTTTCTTTTGTTGTTTAGCGCGCTACTTTGTGTTAGAGAAACTTCTGACTGTATAGCACAGGCTGTACCGTTTGAGGTATTTTGTATTTTTGATATAATTTGTTTTATTTCTAAAATTAGAACCGTATAAGTTGAGCACAGAGTTTGTGTTTTGATATAATTTAATACGAGTGTCTCAAAAACGCTTGGCGAGCTATACAGAAGATCGTAGTTTGACCTACTCGAATACGTTTTGGTTCGTCAGTCCTGCATTCAAACTGAATACTGGTGGTTCGGTTGTTACACGTGGCAAAGATCAAGTGAATCTGGGAAATTTTTGCTTTTGATCACGCGTACTACAGGATATTATGTTTGCGATGTGGGACCTTGCATGTTTAAAAATAAAATTGATTTGGAGAAAAAAAATAAGTCAAGGAACCAATGATGACAATGACAAGAAATATGAAATTGAAGGGATTCTGGAGCTTGGAGCCACTCTCGGGTTACTGCCGGTCACAAGCCTTGATAAAAGAAAACTGCCGCAATTCGCTATCCAGAAAAGATAATTCAAACCATTTAAACTCTGTCCTACGAATTTGAAGGTCTTCATTTAAACGTTATTACGCTTAATAATGAAAGCCAAGTTTCTGAAGAAGATACGAAGGTGATAAACAGATCAACCACTTATTCAAGTACATGAGATGACGTTAACCACAGATCATCACTTCTTAGTTAATAGGATGAACTTGAAACTCAAGAAGCACTGGACAACGGAGAGAACAACATTACGAAAGTTTAATACGGCATTTCTTCGGTATATGACAAACTCAACAAATTCAAGATGGCCCTCAGCAATAGGTTCGAGGCCCTTTACGAGTCACTCAACAGAAGGACAACTACTATGGAGAGCGACTGCAAAGGGATCAAGGAGGCAACCACTTCAACGTGACACGAAGTTCTGGGCCACAAGAAGCAACACCACAACGAATAGTGAGACAATTTTATGATACAAGAAAGAAACTCTCTGGAAATCACCGTAAACCAGAACGACCAGTGAAAATCAAGGAAGGCTAGGTAATCACCAGCATTGAAGAACAACGAAACAGGTGGGTATAACATTTCTGAAAGCTCTTGAATCGACCAGCCCCACTGAACCCACCCAACATCGAAGGAGCCCCCACAGACATCCCAATCTATGTTGGCTCATCAACAATTGAAGAGATTAGCATGGCCATCAGACAAATCGAGAGGAGCAAAACAACAGGACCAGATAACACTCCAGCAGAGGCACTGAAAGCAGACGTAGCAATAACCGCAAAGATACTCCACATTCGCTTCAGCAAGATTTGGGATGAGGAACAAGTACCAACAGACTGGAAAGAAGGACTTCTGGTCAAAATACCAAAGAAAGGCGATCTCAGCAACTGTGATAACTACAGGGGAATCCCTCTTCTCTCAATACCAGGAAAAGTCTTCTACAGGGTATTGTTAAATAGGATGAAGTACTCTGTAGACACCCAACTTCGAGACCAACAGGCAGGATTCCGTAAGGATAGATCAAGTTCAGACCAAATTGCAGCTCTACGGATCATTGTGGAACAATCTGTTAAATGGAATTCATCACTCTACATCAATTTCATCGACTACGAGAAAGCATTTGATAGCGTGGACAAAACAACATAATGGAAGCTTCTTCGACACTACGGCGTGCCTCAGAAGATAGTCAATATCATACAGAATTCCTATGATGGATTAACCTGCAAAATCGTGCATGCAGGACAGCTGATAGACTCGTTCGAATTCAAGACCGGTGTTCGGAAAGGTTGCTTACACTCACTCTTTCTCCTGGTGATCGACTGGTTCATGAAGACATCAACATCTGGGGTGAAGCTTGAGGTACAGTGAACATCTAGGATGCAGCTGAACGATCTAGACTTTTTAGATGATATGTCGGAAATGATCTATCGCACACGCAACAACAAATGCAGGAGAAGACAACCAGTGTAGCTGCAGCCTTAGAAGCAGTATGTCTTAACATACACAAATAGAAAAGCAAGATGCTCCGATACAACACAGCATGCAACAATCCAATCACAATTGACGGAGAAAATTTGGAAGATGTACAAACCTTTACATATTTGGGCAGTATCATCGATGAACACGGCGAATCTGATGCAGATGCGATAGCGCGGATCGGCAAAACAAGAGCAGCATATTTACAACTGAAGAACATCTGTAACTCAAAACAACTGTCAACTAACATAAAAGTCAGAATTTTAAATCCGAATGTCAAGAGAGTTCTAATGTACGGGGCGGAAACATGGAAAACTACGAAAGCCATCATCTCGAAGACACAAGTTTTGGTCAACAGCTGTCTACGGAAAATACTTCGGATCCGATGACCAAACTCTATGAGCAACAACCTGTTGTGTGAGCGAACAAACCAAATCCCAGTCGAGGAAGAAATCAGAAAGAAGCGCTGGTGGTTGATAGGACACATATTGAGGAAAGCACCGAATTGAATCACAAACCAGGCCCCCAATTGAAATCATCAATGGCAAAGGAAAAGAGAAAGAACAAATAACACATTACTCTGAGAAATGGAGACAGACAAGAGAAGAATGAGCAATAATTGGATAGAACTAGAAAATAAGGCCCAGGTCAGAGGGGCTTGAAAAATTCTGGTCAGCGGCTTATGTTCTACTGTGAGTAACAGGCGTAGGTTAGCGAAAAAAAATAAGCAAGCATACAAACTTTTAGGATTTCTACTACATTTTACAACCAACTAAATATATATTGGACCTTGTTTACATAAACCATTGATAATCTTACTTATTTTTAGTAGACAACACGAGCTACTTTCTGAAAGATTGTCATCAACGAAACTTTTGCACAAAAGTGACTTGCTGCGAGTCTGTTCTACACGCCTGTGTAGCTCAATTAGTGAAGGTGTAGACGATATATTTTTTGAATTTAGTCTTGAGTCATTCATAGGAGGAATTCGTTCATAGAATAGGGATCTGGTAGATCACTAACGTAGACGATCCATGTCGAATGATTGAGGTTCTACTAGAGTTAAACGAGAATGATCACATCTCGCGGTCATAACCTAACGCGGATTATCCCTCCGAATCATTGTAGTTAACAGAACACCAATGGGGAAATCGAATGTATTTGACAGCAAATTACAGAACTCATTAGTAAAACTTAACAACCATATATCAAATACTTGATTTGCAAAATGTCCAACAATCGTCTCAAATGACTCAAACTTCATTGTTCTTGCATTTTCATACAAATTGCATTCTGTCTTCGTTCTTCACTGTTCGATCTTCTTGTCTCTCTGCTGCCAGACATTCTGTTCCTGACTAATATCATATACTACTTATGTCTACATAAGTAGCACACACATACTATAACTGTTTTGAAGACCGTATAACATAGAGAACGGTGTTACAGAAATATGTTAGTTGGAGTGAGTACAGAGAAGATAGTGAGACCACCACCACATGAACCAGTCCATGACATACGATTAACCGACTTGTGTTTTTTGTCTATGAACTTGACTGAGATCGACGAACGGTTCGACATTCAGTGACTCAACTACTGGATGATTTGGTTAGGACTCAGTCACATTTCACTGACTATACACACTTAATATTTGTTGCAGGCACGTAGAACGAAAATTCTTGTTGTGCGCCTCAATCTTGGATGTCTAAATGTTCACAGAGTGTACTAAATCCTTGTTAGTAAAATCGTTATTATCGAAGTAGGTGAAATCAGGTAGGGCAGCTGAGCAGTGAAGCAAGTTATTAACCAATGAAAATGATACTAGAAATGAACACACCTGATAGAAGCGAAACGGAAATTATTAATAGATATATTTTGAAGTTTTGGCCAGTACTAAACCCAGTTAAATCAATGGGTTGCTTGCTAAATGTTAGACGGTCGTATCTGAAACTAAAAAATATGATGTATCCAAACTGTTAGTTCATATCATATAATCAAATCGCCTGGTGCGTCCAAACATTAAATTGTTGACGACAGACCTGGACAATCTGCCATATGTGGAGCGACGGAAACGGCCAGGTGTTTCCGGTAGACGCAGAACGTGGGTCAATCCCACACCGCTATTTTGTGTCGTGGCTGATGATTTGGGTGTCGGTGTAGTCCGCTTTGGAACCGATCATCCCATGAGGATATCACGATCATAGAAACTCAGGATGTGATTCAGAACTTTCCCTTGATTACCCAATGGCTAAAATGTCTTAATCGCATTAGTGTTATAACCCAACGAGGTAGGAACTTTCATGTGATGTTTACTGCGAAGATTTACACAGGTCGGTCGACATACAGTGCTGTTACTGAAGAGGGAAGAGGGTAGTGGTAATATGCATCATGTCGATTTACTTCAGAATTTGGTTTTCTCACTGTGTTCCACATGCTTCTTCAGTGCATAAATATTGACAGACTGGCACTGAATGGTAGACGGAAGTTCAAAAGCAATATGGATCGACTTTAAATTTAATTACTGCCGTAGATTCACACTTAACACATAAGTATTTCAAAAAGTGTACAGTGTTTTACTAAGCCTTATTTCAATAAAATCTAATGGTCTGAACTATATTGTGTGAAAATTTAGTGTAATACTATTGATTCTCTGGTTCGGATGTGGTGTTTATCTGGAAAAATGCGTATTAGGTGCCGAGGTTTTTGAATGCGGAAAATATGGATAACTCGTTTACGATGGAAGGCCCTTTAAGTAAATGGACTAATCTCGTCAATGGTTGGCAATACCGTTGGTTTGTGCTTGACATAAGCCTAGGGGTTTTATCTTATTACACGGTTAGTTTTTCAAACTTTGCAGTTTCATACAGTTTCTTGGAAAGGTGAACAATATCACACCCAGAAAAATGGTACAGCTTGTATATTATTGTTATTTTTAAGTCAGCTATCCAACCTTTCCAACATACTGCTTGGTACGCATCTGCTTCTGCCAAATATGTACACTTTTGATAAGAATGTTTTCATTGTTAGGTGTTATGATATGTCCATGTTCACCATAGGCTGTGGGTCTTTCAGATTCAGATTTGTGTAGTAAGGACAGAAGGCCCACGACCTATTTTACTCCTTTTCTGGTATGCTCCTGTGAGCGTCTAGTCTTCTCTTGAACGAACCAATTAGAGGTGCGAATATCACTGCTTCGGGTAACAGGTTCCAAGAATTGATGACTGTGTGAAAACCTGCATTCCACGACTATTTCATTCGCTTTGGGCTTTTCTACTCGATCGCATCCTTCTAGTCTGTAGGTGACTCACATTGGCCAAGTAGTATACTGAATATCACGGTTAGTGCGGCTGCAATATATTGTGCAATTTTTCTAGAGATTTTGGGATGTGGTTCACCCGGTCCTGTTGACTTTTCCGTGTCTAAGGTGCTAAGAGCCTTAACTACATCGTCTTGATCAAAGTCTAAGGTAAGCAGGCAGTTTGTTGACTTTTTGTTCGGGTCAAGTTCTTCGTGTAGAAGAGGCTCCTGACTGAAAACTGCCCCAAAATAGTTTGCCCTAGCCTCTGCTTTTTCCTGACCACCTATCATTTCAGGTCCACTCCCTTCGGTAATTAGGTTGGGAATCCAGTGCTGCATCCTTGTTCTGTAGTTTATGTGTGAGAATAGTCCCTTAGGCGGCAGTTTATGCCAACTGTATTCCATATTTTCTCTGAGCTTCTCGGATTGTAATTCTACACTTATCTATTACCGATCTGTAGCGTTCCATAGTACTTGCTGTGTGAAGGCTGATGATAAAGTCGCAACATTTCTACTTGTCTTATTAAATGTCGAATATCCTGGCCTATCTAGGGATGCCCGCGCTTCTTCTTTGAAACTGACCAAGGTATATATATTTGAGTTGCCAATTGTATAACAGCCTGAAATGAGTCCATGCTTCTACTGATGCACAGAAGTCAATTTTCTAGTTTTCAACCGGTGCTGCAGAGCTTATCGCCTTCATGACTGCCTTCCATATGTTAACACGGGCCGTCGCAACTGTTTGACAGACCAACTGAGCCATAAACTTAAGTAAGATGATTGCATGGTCACTTTTCCATAGATGTGGAAGGAAATTGATTCGACTGACATCATCATCGTGTGTGAATACTATATTCAAGCGAGACAAGGAGCTTCGTAAGTCATATCTGGTGGGGTCTCTAATATACTGTAATAAAGTTAGTGCAATTGTGGTTTCTAAAAACTTCCAATCAAATGACGTTGTCGATGACCCTACTGCTAAGTTTATCCAGCGCTTATCTGTTTCTACTTCTGCCGATCGTCTCTTAATGGACAAGGACTGATTTGTCAGCGAGGTCCGTCCTAAAGCGTTGTAGAATTTTAATTTCTGAAATCTCCCTGCAATCCGATTTGGCGTCAAACGTAGAGTTCTCACTCTATTTTCTTACTTTTCTTTTTCTGGGTGTGACTAAACCAATCATTTACCTTATTTCGTCTCTTGATCACATCCTCTATACCACTCAGACTGCTCCACCATAGTCTGTTTTGCGTTAATATGTGAATCCGGAACTGAAACCGTAGATTCACATGCCTTAATACTGCCTATAATTCGTTTCTTCTCAGCGTGCTCTTTCTTTTTCCTTGTAACATTGCCTACATCTGTATGCTTGTTATCCGCTTTTCTAATGGGATCCACCTTGATGGTCTCATCCATATTCAAAGCTGGTCTCATGATAACGCTCGCTATTTCCTCTGAAACTGAATTCTGCTATTTTAATACTGCCTGTTTACTTGAGGGTAATTTTGTAGCTATGTACAGCAGCTCAACCGCCTCAATAATTAGCAGAGACTTTGTAGAACAGCCTGCTTTGTACAGCCAACGGGATAATGGCTTGCAGCACTTTTATATGCAGCCGGTTTGAATCCGGTGCACATATTGTGATACCACTTATTGCAGTTGTCACATTGCATCCCATCATCGATAAGGAAATACCATACAGGTCTGCCACAATGATGTTTTACTTGCGCCATAAATTTGTTTTGTGATCTCACAAGAAAAACAACAGCGAAAACTGATCTCTAGAAAGTGTCTTTTAAGGCTTGATAGGTGATAAACATTGCACACCTAACAATAATAAAAAAATCTGACTTCAGCAGTTACAAAAAGACCTTAACACGTCTGGTTACAAACAATACAAAAAGATATACTCAACGAGGAAATAAGATACCGGTGCCCTTCTTTGTATCTGTACTGGAAAGGTACAGATGATAAAGTTCTCTAAAAAAAGCGATACTCTTGGAGATTATTTTGACTGAAATAAATTCAATTAAAGCAAAAACAGTCTAGATGCGTGATTAGTCGACCATTACCATAAAATATACTCAGGAAAAATACCACTGGCCTTTTTAAATAGCTCACGTCCTTCGTTGTCCGACCACTTGAATAGACTCTGAAACCACGTTGGACTTACAGATTAACAGGTGACAGGTTTTTTAACAGGGAGCAGTAATGTTTCAAGTGTTATCTATGTGTCCTAATCGTGAACATTGGCTTTCGTTGCAATTACGTTTTTCCAACCGAATGGTCTAATCTTAAGACTTTCACCGTCTTCCTAGAAAGCAGCGCGAAAATCAGTGATTATAATAGCTGCAATGTCCTAGTTTGAGGATCTTATTTTTGCACGACAGTTTAATAACTCATCTGACGGATCTAGATGATTTCACAGACTAATAATACCTTATATTTGTTCGTGGGAATATTAAGCTTATAAAAATTAGATGTTCGCTTCTTTTTGGCTCCCACTTATGGCGGTCGAAAAATTAGATTTAGGGCCTGTAAGCCCAGTCTAACGATATCTTCCGTATCGCCTAGAAGACTGGTCTCTGCACGTTGGAAGCGTAAGTCAGTCAGTCAGCTACAACGTAGGACCAGGCATATATATGCATCGGTCCAAGTTACCATACCGCACAGCAAGATAAACACTGGATTCATAGTTGTTAAGTCAGTGGTAGTAATATATCAAAGGAAGATTGCATAAAAGGATATAGCACAGAAAGAAGGACTTAGTACGTAGAAAGAAAGATATGAAGCGATTTTAATCTCTTAGTTTAAGGGAAGACACATAGTGTATGCACCGACGCCATTGTGATCGATTCTGAGCCATGTCACCAAGAGTCTCCAACAATTGGTTACGATAGTCACGCGGACACCAACCAGGCAGTCTGAATCTACCAACATGGCTCAGCCCAGAAGTTAGTGTCTTCAAACACTGATGCCACGTTTTGGATTGGCCGCCCCTAACTTTCTTCCATCCGTCTCCAACACTAGTCAGCATTGCGTGTCGTGGTAATCGGTGTTCAGGCATACGCAACACGTGGTCCAACCATCTCAGTCGGTGAAGATTCACAACCTCATCAACTGATTTACCATCATTCCTTAATACCCTGCGTCTAACCTCACTATTACTTACCCGATGATCCCAGCAGATGCAAGCAATATTTCTAAGGCATCTGTGATAAAATACTAGTAGCTTGCGAGTATCTTCAACTCTTAATGGCCATGTTTTGCAGCCGTAACGTAAAATAGAACGAACTGCTGCGCAGTATACTCGTTCTTTTATTGATAGACGGATATCTCGCCTTCGCCATAGGTGACATAAGTTGGCGAAAGCCAAACGTCGGACATCAAACCATTAGGACTGATCAGACTTCCAAGATAAGTGAAGTTGTCAACGCGTTCGACTACTTCACCCTCTACCCTTAGTTCAGGTGTTGACACAGGCCAGTCCTGAAGCAACGACTTGCATTTAGAGTGGGAGAAACGCATCCCAAATATCCTGGTATTGTCGCTCAGTGCTACCAAAAGACTGCATTTTATCAGCGTCTTCACCAAACAGGACTATGTCATCTGTGTATTCTAAGTCAATGAGTGGACCTCCTGGTAGGAGATCAATGTCAGAAAATTCAGTCGACGAGAAAGTTATTTTCAGCTGCAGGTCTATGATGAAATCGAACAAAATGGAGATAGTGGACAGCCTTGACGGACCCCGCTGGAGGTTGTGAAATCCGATGACAGATCGCCATAAGCTCTGACTTGACTGGTAGTGTTCGAGTAAAGAGCTTCCACGAGGTTTATGTACTTCTGAGGTACGCCTTTCAATGACAGACACTGTCACAGAACCTCTCGGTCAACAGAGTCAAACTCTGCTTTTAAGTCAAGAGAGACCACCATTTTCGGACGCCGATAAGCAAGTTTGTGTTCTAAAATCTGACGAATAGTGAATATGTGGTCGATGCAGCCACGATCAGGTCTGAAGCCAGCCTGGTTTTCTCGTATTCGCAGTTCACGAGTCTATGTAAGGGGCACGATAGTTATTGAGGATAGTATTTTAGATGCTATATTAGTCAAACTAATCCGTCTATGGTTATCACAGGATTATTTTGAACTCTTTTTACACATTGAGACAATCAGTGATTGCGACCAATCAAATGGGATTACATCCAACTCCCAGGTTTTAGCTAAAATATTAGTTAACCTAGTTGCTAATATTGGACCACCATCCTTAAAGACCTCTGGGGCCAATCCATCTGGACCAGATGCCGTTCCTCGTTTCAGATTAACCATAGCCTTTTGATTTTCAGCGAAATTTGGAGGACCTACTTCAATGTTGCATTCAGGCTCTATGGGAATTGTGAGTAGTTGTATAGTAGATTAAGGCCAGCTGAACTGTTCTCTAAAATGTTCCGCCCATCAGTCTTAACGTCTGGACTGGGAGAAAATGAGTGTCGTATTTTTCCGAAGTAGCCTCACTTACAGTTAACTATTTATTTGTTCGAACACCCTCAGGATACTGGAGCTCATGAGCACCATTGGTTTGGGATCCGGTCAAAGCGTCGTACATTCGCTTTTCGTTCTCTCATTTTGTAAACAAAACCCTCACCACGAGAAAGCAGTGAGTAGGACTTTTCTGGCATAGGCTGTATACGCGTGGCTGTGTGAGAGCATTTGGAGAGAGAGGGCGGGCCCACCCCACTCTCGGCCATACTAGGGTATTTGGGGGCACACTTTACTTAATAATTACAATTTTTTTAGTCTGTAGAGCTATCTTGTGTTCCCTATAGCCGCCGCCTTTTTTCATCTCTTTTGCTTTCGTTGCCCACCACTTCTCACAGTTGTTCATTAGACTTTTACTTAACCTAGATCTGCTGTTTCCACAGCTGCATGCATATCTTTCCAAGCAACATCTGGGTCAGCCTCGTTTTCAGAACTACCTAAGTGTGACCTCAGTGGTTCTTGAAACCTACTTTTGGTTTTCTCGTTACTCAATTCAGTTCTAATGGGTCTTTTTAATGTGGCTTTTTTGCGTTGGAAGCATGAAAAGCTTATGAAGCCATTAATAGGTCATCAGTCGTGATATGGTTGATTGTTCGACTCGATCTAAAACTAATCATTTTAAGTTACGGTTCAACTGTGATCACTAGTCTGTTGGTGATTGTTGAATTAGTTTTTTGTGGTTTATGGTGACCTGAATAATCATTTGGGAATGAAATTGTCTTAGTATCGCTGTGGCAGCTTTACCATTATGTTTTTAACTCAGTTTGGGTACTGTAGTTCTAAAAACTCATGATGGTCACATGAGTGTTTAGTATATGGTACTTCCATTTGAATCATTTTGTTTTTCTCTTAAAACAATTTGGACAAAGTTTGTGAACTAGAAATAGTATTTCACTTGAGATTTTTCTATGAATCAATGTCATTTATGCGCAGAAATACGATACATATAGTTTATTTGTAGTTAAGTGTAGTCTGATCACATGCTATTTAATAAACATTCAATATACTTGTTTACTGAAAGGTCAAAATACCCGCTTTGCAAGGTTGTATTTCGTAGGTATAGGATGTGCTCGATGCATTCCGATTTTGAAGTTATAAAAGAATGAGTGGAACTTGTAACTGTCCAAACCTTAAGTAGTGAATCTTTGGAGAGTGAAAATGTTCATGTGACTCCCGACAAAATGGCTAATGAGATTAATCTCCTTAAATAATCAGCCTGACTTCTATTTAGCAACTTAGCCCATTTAGCCTCTTTGGTGAAATTAGTTAGGCCATGAAGTTACAACAAATATCTTTGGTCGAAGTTATTGCGTTACATCAACACCGCAGGTTGAATTTGATAAAATGGATACAATGAAGTTGAGATAATATAAATGCCAGTGACGGTAACGAAGTTTATACATAGAGGATTTGATTCTAAATATGGGATAAATTTATGGAATCAATTTTGTGAGGTTATATTGAGACTTAAAATCTAGGAAACTGAAGTTATTTCACTACTGCAATTGACTGGTCTAGAGATTGTTGCTACAGTGTTTGGTACACTATAGTAAAGGCAAACTATTCTACTGAAGGTGTATTAGCCTCAGTTGATCTCTTGACTGCCATGCATCACAACCTGAATAGGTCCACAGAGTGCCTATGTTTATCACTTTCAAAATGACATCCGTCTGTCCGTCAGTAAGGTTTTGGACCGTTGTAAACCTGGATTGTGACACTTACCTAATCTGGAAAGAAATGAACGAAATATCATTTAGATAATTTAAAGTTACGGGCGCATAAAAATGTTCAGCCGAAAAATAGTTCTTAAAAATAATAACTATGTTTATCTGAACTTTTCTGAGCTTAGCATAAACCTCTGTCAAGTGTTCACTGGATGCCTTAGTTTGTCTGATATCAGTGAGTACGGTATTTGTCACAGTGCACTCATAAGTGAACCCCAAAAATGTGGATGCAGCAGGAATTACTGGGGCGATTTTATAAATTACATAACTAATTCTGCATTAAACTGAACGTATGCAAGATACTTCTGCTCCTACGAAGAAACTAACACACTAGATGTTTGAAATCGAACTGTGTAAATAAGATGTGTCTAACTAAATTATTCCTGGAACTGGCAGGAAATGCTTACAGCATCTTCATACTGTCAAATATATTCATTACCAACCGAACACTGAATATATTATTATATTACATATTTCTACGTACATTGTATCGTTTATCAAGTTATTCAGCAAATCTGAGTAATAAGTACATTTTTAGTTGGTAGATTGTTTATCATCCACAATAAGGAGATTGAAGTAGTCTTACTCATGGATGGATCTAAGCTTACGTATGATACATCCACTTCTGCTTGAACCCGTACGTTAGTTGGTATTTATAACGGACAACGTTCGGTAACCTCACCAATTTAATATACATTCACTCCCAGAATCGGCGTCATAAACAGGCAGTAATGTTGATTTAGGATTTCTGTTGTGGTAATGTAAACTTCCAACTCTTGCTTTTTGTGTTAATTCATTACTAGATCTTCGTTAGCGTGATATAGATTGGATAAAGCATTTTCCGAGCAGTATTTTGTATTGGGGCATCTTGATTGGCTAAGTAATACCCAATCAACTCTAGCAGATCCTTGGAGAAGACTCTAAAAGCTTCTTGTGTAAAAATATAAATATACTATATACTATAATGCTTCCTAACTCTATTCAGTCGTGTTTATTGGGAATCTAATCACATTCCTGTTCAACCATGTTCTGATTCGGGGACTTGTCAAGTGAAGTAGTGTCCGAAGAATATTAAGCAATACGTAACTAGGTCGTAATAACAAAGCTCTTGACAATCTTGTAGGAATTTCTGCTAATCCAAATTTTCACGTACGTATGATTTACATTATAAGTTAGGTATTGAGTTGAGTCTTGTTCAAAATGTTAACGCCTTTATTGTTGTTATGGGTAAATCTCTCTTTGAAATATTCAATCTTTGACTAGCTTATGTTAGTGCATCATAAAGTAGTTTTAAAATCCTTATTTTTTCCCTTTGTCAGTCTAAAGAGAAGATGATGCGAGGCGATAGACGTGGATGTGTAAAGTTAAAAAATGCTCAAGTTGGGATTGATGATGAAGACGATAGTACATTCACCATAACGGTTGATCACAAAACATTTCACTTCCAAGGTAACCGTATTGATATATTCTCCGTCTTCGCCAAAATTTTTTGCTTGAAGTTTCAAACTGTTCTGTGAAAAAGAGCCCAACTGGTTGTTCTGTGGAAATTGTGTTTGACTCGTACCAGATGGTTATAGACAAGAAACGGTATAATCATGAAGGAACTTGGAAAACAAAATATTAGTCAATGGTTGATAAGGGGTTTTGAGGGGATATATCTGTGGTGGTTTTTCTCAGTACGGTATGGGAATTAAAAGTAGATAACACTATCTGATTCGGAGGTGAATTTCACAACCTACAAACTTTGACCACGAAAGTATTCCTTCGTACATTTATACTACCAATTTCATGTTTTACCATTAGCCTCCAGTTACTTAAACGTGATAATTTAGAATGGAGGACTATAAGCATTATGTTACGTCATGATCACTATTTCATATGAAAGTTCGGAATAGATCATTCTTGATGATGACGATTATTATCAGTATGATATACCCATATCATACCAATTTATACGTCATGTATTGTAAAAGCTTTATACTCATTACTTTCAGATCAACTAAGTATGGTTTATTAATGACTTCAAGCTTCCTTTTAGTTGCTTTTCTCTGTCCCTGTCCCAGAAGTGCGGTATTGTTCTTGAGATAAGCAGACATGATATCGATACGGAGGACGGTTGTAAGATTTGATGACAACAAGCGTGTCTTCAGCATAGCTGTCCACTATCTCTATTTTTGTTTAATTTCATCATAGACCTACTGCTGTTTGAATTTGTGACTACGAAACGTGGCCATTAAGTCGAAGATACTCGCAAGCTACTAGTATTTTATCACAGATGCCTTAGAAATATTGCTTGCATCTGCTGGGATCATCGGGTAAGTAATAGTGAGGTTAGACGCAGGGTATTAAGGAATGATGGTAAATCAGTTGATAAGGTTGTGAATCTTCACCGACTGAGATGGTTGGACCACGTGTTGCGTATGCCTGAACACCGATTACCACGACGCGCAATGCTGACTAGTGTTGGAGACGGATGGAAGAAAGTTAGGGGCGGCCAATCCAAAACGTGGCATCAGTGTTTGAAGACACTAACTTCTGGGCTGAGCCATGTTGGTAGATTCAGACTGCCTGGTTGGTGTCCGCGTGACTATCGTAACCAATTGTTGGAGACTCTTGGTGACATGGCTCAGAATCGACCACAATGGCGTAGGTGTATACACTCTCTATCTTCTCTTAAACTGAGATTAGAACTGTTTTATACCTTTCGTGTCTACGCACTAATTCTTTCTCCCTGTATCATACCCTTGTATGAAATTTTTCTTATATGTATGACTACCGTTGAAGTGATTACTTATATGAATTCGGTGTTCATTGTTTTGTGCTAATGAGATATGACAACATGGACTGATGCATATATGTGCCTGGTCTTGCATTGTAGATGACTGACTGACTGTTGGTTGACGTTTGCCTTCAAATAAGCTGATATCAAAATAGTTTATTTTTCCGGTAAAATAATATTCTTACAAAATATGAGACAGTAAAGGGAATTTGATGAGATATCACTTGACAATTAATCGAGTAAAAGGTGTGAGTCACATAGATCACTCATTTTTATCCACAGTCGTTCTAACTTTCACGTTTGGTTCTTGTCCATTCTGTCAAATAAACATTTTTCGCAGTCGAAATCTTGAATATTCACGGAGAACATTTCAAAAAGCCTTGAATATCCTGGTTGTCGCTGCACAGTCAGTAACATGATGTCATCCGTTAACTGTTGATAATGTTTTAAAAAATTTTAGTAGACTTATTACGTAGACCATTTGTGTTTGACCAACAGTGTTAGATTGTTTCAAGCTGCCAAAAGGTTTTTATAGTAAGTTCTAGCTTACAAAAATGTATATCGGGGATCAAACAGGACTGAGTCACGAAACTTCAGAAATCAGTCAGTCAGTCAGCTGCAACGTAGGACCAGGCACGTATATGCATCGGTCCAAGTTACCATACCGCACAGCAAGATAAACACTGGATTCATAGTTGTTAAGTCAGTGGTAGTAATATATCAAAGGAAGATTGCATAAAAGGATATAGCACAGAAAGAAGGACTTAGTACGTAGAAAGAAAGATATGAAGCGATTTTAATCTCTTAGTTTAAGGGAAGACACATAGTGTATGCACCGACGCCATTGTGATCGATTCTGAGCCATGTCACCAAGAGTCTCCAACAATTGGTTACGATAGTCACGCGGACACCAACCAGGCAGTCTGAATCTACCAACATGGCTCAGCCCAGAAGTTAGTGTCTTCAAACACTGATGCCACGTTTTGGATTGGCCGCCCCTAACTTTCTTCCATCCGTCTCCAACACTAGTCAGCATTGCGTGTCGTGGTAATCGGTGTTCAGGCATACGCAACACGTGGTCCAACCATCTCAGTCGGTGAAGATTCACAACCTCATCAACTGATTTACCATCATTCCCTAATACCCTGCGTCTAACCTCACTATTACTTACCCGATGATCCCAGCAGATGCAAGCAATATTTCTAAGGCATCTGTGATAAAATACTAGTAGCTTGCGAGTATCTTCAACTCTTAATGGCCATGTTTTGCAGCCGTAACGTAAAATAGAACGAACTGCTGCGCAGTATACTCGTTCTTTTATTGATAGACGGATATCTCGCCTTCGCCATAGGTGACATAAGTTGGCGAAAGCCAAACGTCGGACATCAAACCATTAGGACTGATCAGACTTCCAAGATAAGTGAAGTTGTCAACGCGTTCGACTACTTCACCCTCTACCCTTAGTTCAGGTGTTGACACAGGCCAGTCCTGAAGCAACGACTTGCATTTAGAGTGGGAGAAACGCATCCCAAATATCCTGGTATTGTCGCTCAGTGCTACCAAAAGACTGCATTTTATCAGCGTCTTCACCAAACAGGACTATGTCATCTGTGTATTCTAAGTCAATGTGTGGACCTCCTGGTAAGAGATCAATGCCAGAAAATTCAGTCGACGAGAAAGTTATTTTCAGCTGCAGGTCTATGATGAAATCGAACAAAATGGAGATAGTGGACAGCCTTGACGGACACCGCTTGAGGTTGTGAAATCTGATGACAGTTCGCCATAAGCTCTGACTTGACTAGTAGTGTTCGAGTAAAGAGCTTCCACGAGGTTTATGTACTTCTGAGGTACGCCTTTCAATGACAGACACTGTCACAGAACCTCTCGGTCAACAGAGTCAAACTCTGCTTTTAAGTCAAGAGAGACCACCATTTTCGGACGCCGATAAGCAAGTTTGTGTTCTAAAATCTGACGAATAGTGAATATGTGGTCGATGCAGCCACGATCAGGTCTGAAGCCAGCCTGATTTTCACGTGTTTGCTGTTCACGAGTCTTAGTTAGGCGTCCTATAATTATCGAGGCTAATAAGGTTTGGAAACTTGCACTGATGCATTTAAGTGCTTGGTTCTACGTTGTAGCTGACTGACTGACAAAGTTGGTTTGAGGGCTAGGTTAAGTTCTTCACTTGCATTAAAAAAGGTCTATGTACTTTCTATATGATTACTCATGTTTATGTCTTATCGCTAGGATAATAGGATTAAGTTTGTATGTTTCTTAAATCTGATTATTTCAGGGTGGGTATCTGTTCATTGTTGTTTATCTGTTAAGATTTAGACTATTGAGTGGCATTCGGGATAAAACGCCAAATACCATAATTTGAGGAATACGGTCGAGCGATAAACACTTAAATAAATGGTTATTCTGTCAAAAATTTCCAGAATTCTAAGTCATTAATCTTCATAAGGTTTATTAAAACACTAAATCTAATGATCATACATCTACATATTTATGCACCTTATTGTGAGTTCTTGATGTTCTTGTACATTAAAAATCCAGTCGAAGTAATGTTTGGAGAGTGGTAACTTATTTATCCTCAGAGTAGTTGGTTCAGACGTATATTTTTACTTCTCAAACATTTAGTTGTCGATGTAATGTAACAAAACAGATTAGTAAATTTTTTCGGTTGGTCCAGGTTTTCCTATAACAGGATAAATATGTATTTATTTGAACTTTTCAGTTGTTCTCTATGGATTGTGTGAGGATTTTTCTAAACATTTCACACTGACTCTTATTAGTCATACCTTTGTCACTGATGTGCTTGACATTGAGTAGGATTTTCCTGTACAAAATTGTATTTTCATAAATCAATTTTAGTTCATTTACAGTCAGTTGGAGTACTACTTTATTTTAAAATAAGGTTGCAGTTAAATATAAATACCCGTTCACAACACATTGTTGCTTATCTTTTGATCATCGATACTGTTTTTTTATTTGAACATTAACGCTTAGCAGTCATATGATTACACTTATGTACTTATCGGTAGGCTTATATACTTCTGAGTGTTTGAAAAAATAAATTAACTGTTAAATAATATTTTGTATAAGCTATTTCACAAATAACAATTTTTCAATTTCGATGTAATGTGGTTTCTATATCCGGTGAAAATATTAAAGTAACAATAATCCGTATTGTGTAGTTAAAACTTAGTTGTTCGACAGATTACTTAGTTACACTTTATTGGATTTAGACTTTTTAGTTAGATACATGGATATTCGTTAATGATTTAAATCTAGTGACTCTAGTATCGCGTACGAAACCGCAGATCACCATTTTTATGATTAACAATATTAGTTACAGTTAAACATTTTCTGTCATTTAGTGTCACGCTTTTCCTTTCACTATTCACTGTCACTTAAATGACTTGACCCTAGATTACGTGGTGATTAGTATTGCTTTGTTGTAAAAGGGATGAGTAAAAACCCTAGGTCTAAGTTTTAATACCATCAGCCCTAAACTAGTTACACGAAATACTGATAATAACGTCTAGTTGTTCATCTCGAAATAAAAGTACAAATAGAAACCAAGGATTTACAAGACTGTTATCATAAGATATTCGCTTTCTAAACTTGTATATGTATTGATAGGGAAGAATATGTGTGTAAAGTTTCTGTGGAATTCGCAAACTTTTATTCATGGATTATAACTCATTGTTACTTTAGTGAAAGTTTAGCAGAGTGAATACAGTAAACCTTGCTGCTTTAACTAAATCATTGCTTATTTTACTAAAGTTTCGTAAATCATTTTGTATTTGATCTTTATCCAGTTATTATAAATATCAATTTTTTCTTCTTTAGCTCGTAACTCAGATGAACGTCAAAAGTGGCTAGACGCTTTACAGGAGGCTAGGGATTTACATACGCAGAATTATGCTCTTCTGAATCAGGTTAGTGATTATATATGTCAAGTTATTTTTATTCTACTTGATAGTCTATTTAGTTAATATGCTCAATAACCAAGTCATCTAACCAATCTCATTTCATTTGCTTGTACTATGATATTTTATGTAATCATATGTGGTAATTATCTTTCCTTTGGTCTTTAATGACAAGTAATTTTCGATTAAATTTAAAGTAAATAACCCAATTTGGGTTAATACGTTGCATCACTTTTGTATAAAGTAATCATAGATTTGATAATGCAATCTTATTAACCCCTTAATAATGTCAACTGTACAGACTGCACCGATGATAATTCTAAACCTGTTTTTTAATAACTATAGATTTCTCTAACAGCGCATACATACTTACAAACCACTTAATAGGCAAAAATATTTTAAATATTCTTATCGTCTTAAATTATTCACTGTAAATATAGAAAATATTCTACTCTAGATTCTTCCTTCACTGACTATAGTTCATGTGATGTCTATATGTTTGTCATAGATAATTGAACTATTCGTTTTTATATATAGATAACTTCTTGTTTTTTATCATCAACTTGCGGTCACGTCCACGGACCGTAGCATATACTTCTTTCCTCTACCTGATTCGTATGTCTGGTGAAAGTGATTCAGGAAAGTATTAAACAAGAAAACTAAAAGTTTTGTTGATGCTAATGATTAGATAATTAGAGGATTTAGCACTACAACTCATTGGTTTAAATCTCTTCGTTTCGACGGTTTAGTTGAAATAAACCATACTAGTTCAAGAGAAAACAAAAAATTAAGGTAATAAAAATAGTGGAACTCAAAAATAAATTGGTAGGGGTTTATTTAAAGGTGAAATGTTATTTTGTGCCATTTAGTTTCATACAGGTAGTGTCAGTTTTTATCCACTAATTTTCTTCAGTATCCTGAACTTCAGTCAACACTGGATGTGGATCGAGTGTTTTATAAAGTTTTAGTGTATAGAGTTTCTCCTAAACCCAAAATCTAGGTGGTTAAATAGTATAAAATTTAAGTGTTTAGAGACTCTAATCGATGGATATAAATTTAATGTTGTTTAAAAAAAGAAGCAGTGGGTCTTCATTGTCTTTCTTGTTTGGGTCCGGGTACTGCTATTTTAATGTAAAATGAATTACTACGAAAATATAATGTTCTGAGTATTATTTTACCTTATAAATATGCTGTAATGAACCTTCCACGTACCTTGTGAAATAGTAAGGGTCTCATTCTGTATAGATATTCGGTTAAACTGACAGGTAGGATGACTAACTGATAAAATATTTCTTTTTAATGTGGATAATTTGATTTAGAATAAATTCGTCGTATAAATTAAAAAAATCAACTTGTTAAACAGCAATATTAACGTCAATGTTTTCTGATATTTTACATCCTACATAGTTTGTTACTAGCAGAAATATTGTTTTACTCAAAAATGACCTCATTGGCAATATGTAGTGAGATAGGAATCTTGACATAATAGACAAAGCCTGTTTATAATTATTTGTTTAGTACTGTTGTAAAGTTCTATTACTTTTGGCAAGCTAGTTTTTAAAACATAACTAGTAAGTTTATACTGTTTGAATAAAATATAAAACTTAGTGATTCTTACTGAGTGCTGAAATTTTTCTCTGGAAATACTTATATATTCTGAACGTTTTGGGATTCATTTTTTGAACATGTTACTGATTTTAAGACTAAATACTCAGCTGATTCGTTGACTAAGTGACATAACCATCAATTATAGTGAATGTATTACTCATTATTTCTTCTAACTTTTTAAAAAAGTAATACGTTTTCAAGCGTGAAGAGATTCCTTGTTAAACTGCTATTTAGGATTTTACGGAATTACAGGTTTATTAAACTATGAATTTTTTGATTTAACTCTACTCCCTATTTTTGCTTGAGTTCTCACAGTTGCAGAAACAATAAGTCGATAACGAATCGTGGAAAATGTAGTCGATGAGTTAATGTTGTAAATTACGAGCACCCTCACTGAGATATCAAGGACACAATCAATCTGTCTACTTTTTAATTACTTGTTAACTAATGCTTTAAATAGGCAGTTTTATGGTTTGTAATTTCATGACAGTCTAATTACCTGTCATTGCCTTTTGCATTTCCTCTTTTTTGATTCTATAAGTTATGAGGTTTGAAATGATTAGTAATGCAAATGCCCATTATACGTGTAACGGTTGTGGTGAATTAGTAGCCTAGTTAATTAGTGGGTATTAAGTTCAAAGCTCAGTGGTAACATTAACACCAATACAGGTACATTTACCTTGGTTTTTGTCAAAATTTGAAGTGTCGCAAAAATCGGACGACGGGTAAATAGAAGACATTAGATGTTGAAACACCAGTAAAGATTGTATTGTATGAAACTAAATAATTCAAGCGTTTTTCTTGCCGAGTGGTGTTCAAACTGCAAGAGAATAATCAAACTGAAGTAAATTCACCCGACATTTTCCAAATGAAACACTAAATCCATCGCAAAGATACTGACTGTCATACTTAAACTATTAAGCTCATTGAATATCTTCTTGATGTTGAGTTCGTTATGGCAGATGTTATGTTTTCAAGTTATCACGCACCTTAGATGTGTTCATTACTTAACACAGACTAAAAGCCGATTATGTAGTGATTTCGAATTTATGAGAAATTTGGTTGTTCCCATTATGTATTGGTCATCTTTACAACTTGTTTCGCAGCCTCTATGACTCAATTTATGTATAATGTTATTTTTGAGCAACTAGTAATTATTTTATATAACGTTTGATTTCACAAATATTTTGTAACTACGTGCAAGTTATTACAATGTTGTCTGCTAACGTCAAAATTTCTCTGTACATGGGATTTTTTATTGCCTGCATTCTTTAAAGGTCAATGTCACTCAATTTTTACCATACTGAACATGATCATTTGTAATTCTTGATATTTGATGTTATAAAGCATTTTATTTGTTCATTTTTACAGACCAATCGTTTACTGGAACATCCTTGCAGCCTTTCCGAATTCGACCGTCGTATCGTAGAGGCAGATGCTTTTTTACAAATTCTCATAGATCAACATGAGGTATATTTAAGAAATTATTCTTAATTTTCGAGTTTTATTTGTATACTTACTTACTTACTTACGCTTGTTACTCCTCGTGAAGGAGCATAGGCCGCTCACCAGCATTCTCCATCCAACCCTGTCCTGGGCAATCCTTTCCTTTATTTCTTTACGAATATCAAATCAATGAGATACAACCAGTAATATTTACTTAATCTCGTAAGGAAAATTAAGATAATCCTTTAAGTTTGAAGTGATGTCCAGAGAACCAAAGTTCACTAAACTAAATAATTTACTCATATGACGCACTTCGAATAATTGTGTGCTAATCTAAAGCAGAATAATTATTTAGTGACTGTTTAGACTGTTATAAAAAAGTGTTTCAGTAGGGACTGTAGACCACGTTCTAAATGAATCGGTTATTGTTCGTGTGCATTAGCAGTAAATTGACTCAGTTGAGGCCATTACGGATCCTTAGTTATTGATAACTTATTAGTTTTTTACAACGACGTATTGATTAGATACATACTTGCAAAATAGAGTACCATGTTCACTAGATCAACAATATTGCAGTTGTGTTATGATTAATTTCTAGTGCTTGTGAGGTATTCACATTATTGTCAACACAAAGTTGTACTTAATTGTTTGAAATGGTCTTCTTCTAACCAAAAGGACCAGAATTATAAACCTGTAAGGTTTTTACAATCTTGTAATGTAATTAGCCGTCACACACTGAAGATGGTTTGGAGGTTAATATAAGAATTTGTTCATCATTTCTACATATCAATACAGCATATTTTGAGCAGCATGATTCTGCAGACACAAACGTTTTTTTCCAAATCTCAAAAGAGCTTGTACAACGACCTAAAGCTGTATATCAGACTATTATGTATTGAACTGTCAAGATACTCCTATGTTTTAACGCTGCTCAAGTTTATTTGGTTCTTCATATAATTCATTACTTTTCTTAAAACTGAAAAGTAGTCGCTTCGCTAACTTGATTTTTGTCTTATTCGTTTGTATACCGACCTCCTCACTTAACTTCCATCTGATTAGTTTTTTTTTATTTTATCCATCAAGACAACTTGTTATTTGATTAGGAGGTTACATAATGAATCGTTTAGGATGAATAACAATGGAATTAAATCAATCGTAAACTACTATTTTAATTGTTTCTCGTTTTGTTAGTTATGTTCTTCAACTTATATTTGAAGGCGAAACTATGTAATAATCGTGACTGTATTATAATTGGATTATGTGCTTATCGTTCTATCACTTCCAAATCAGCCTGCTAGTTATGGTATAATGGTTAAAAGTATTCAGGTTTCGATAGATATTAGATTTTAGTTTCGATCTTTACTCCACGTTAGTCCTTTTGTTACTGCTTGGTATCACTAGGTCTAATCCATTACTTCTTATATCTACCTTGTCATGTTACATGTAATGTAATTTTCTTTAATCATATAATCTAGGTTTTATTTTGAAACAAATTTAATATTTATACGAATATTCGTCAAATATAATTTACATATATAATGAAATTTAATATTATTTTCATGAAATTATATGCTGTTAAAATGGCATGAATTTTTGTGAGCTTACGAGGAATAATTGATTGCGTTACAATGATCCGCTCAGAACTCTGTAGTCTGCTTTTTATTGTGAAAATAAAAATATGAGATTGTAACTGGTTTTTTTTATCAACTGTCTAACGGCACTTGAGTATAAAATAAGATAGACTCCATCATGGACATTGGAATAAACCGATATATATCAAACCATTAGGTGATGACGTTTGTTAAACTACACATTGAATTTAACAAATTCTTATGATCCATTATTTTTTTTACAACGTTTCACACTGACGGTGTAGATCATATGAATTGAACCAGGTGATAATTCGTCTCGTAAATACTATATTAATTGATGTAAATACGAGCTTTGTTAAGGGATAAACAGTTTGCAAATATTTCTCACACACATCGTTTGGTTTGCAATTTTTCGATAAACATTCAAAGCAGTCTAGTCATGTTCATGCCTGGTGGCGTTTGATACACAGATTACGCTCATATCATTTGTGAACATCGTTTGTAACGTACCAATCCGACCAACTTGATCGCCTACCAAACTATTCCTTCTGTATTATCACATACCCAAACATTTTATTTTACTTTAAATTAAAGTGCAACAGATTAGTTATTCAATCAGCCCGATATATATATATATATATATATATATATATATATATATATATATATATATATATATATATAAGTTTGCATTTGACTATAGATATCTACCCAACTTTTCTTTGTAAAATTTCTTAAAAATCAACTTTAGGCGCATAACTGCATTTATACTGTTTGATTTCAGCAACTGATCAGTCATATTCCATCGTCCGATGAATGTCGGCCGGAGATTATGGGTGCTGTCACTTTTCGGATGCAAGTAAGTTAAGGTCACATTAGTTCTTACTGAAATGTTTTGCGGTAAGGCTTATGGAATTTAGAAATAGTGTTCACTACAAAATAAAATAAGCTAAAAACTTATCATAAACGAAGGAGGAACGACAACTATTTCGTCGCGGTTTGGGACTCATTATTAATGTTTACACACAATTGCATCAACCTCGATGACACATGGCTTCATTCAATTTACAGTACTACTGAATTAAAATAACTCACTGATGCGTATAGTTTGTTCAACTGCTAAATAACACGTTACAGCATTCATTCACATGAGAATTTCTTGTCTTAAATATTTACACAATTTACCGGTTTATCTTTTGTTGTTATTTCGTGTACTATCATTATTTGTATTAAATGTTCAATCTCCTTATTAGTGAACTCAATAACTGCAGTTAGTTAACCTTCGACTGTATGTATTTATGAGACAATATTTATTTTTATTTTTTTTTTATTTTATTTATTTTTTTTTTACCTAAAATTGTCTTAATTTCTAATTTTACGTGTATTCGTTTTATTTTTACTGTCAGTGCACAAAGGCCTGTGTACGTAGGCATATCAACCATTACTGAGTCTCTTATTAAATTTTTCATGTTTCTACAGATAGTTATACCATTTATGATGTAAAATATATATGTTTGTCTGCGTGGTTTTCATGGTAGCGATTATTTTGAACGTAAATAATTTATGGTGACTTTCATATAAGATGGTGTTGTTTAAAAAACGAAGCAAAAAATATCGTGCAGATAGTGATATTTTTTATCCTTTTTCTTACGCGTTTAATTGATCAGTAATTTTTTAAAGTTTTTGATATATGTTAGCTTGTGAAACGCATGTGGTCACCAGACCTTCGCTTCGATCCACACTTCTACACCCAATGGAACCACATTTGAGGAAGATTGGATTAGAAACTGATTGATTTCTACCTAGTCTTGATGAACAAATTTAGTTTTGTTCACGGGGACGGTCACTGTACTTGAATTAATTAAAGCCACTCAGTGGTTGTGTTGAAATCGGAACATTCTTTGGATATGGGTTTCGTATCTTAGATGACACAGTGCTTATTTGACTAACGGAAAGTCACTACTTTAAATTCTTTCTCAGCTCACAACGTTTTGTAATATCTCTCACCGTCTTATAAAAAACCCAACTAATTAACTTCATGGTAGTTCGCTTTGTATTATTTAATGACTTGAAAATATGGTCTATGAAAGTGAAATATATGCCTAGGCTGCGATGTCTTCAGATCATTATTAGCTTGTGGAGCGACCGGATGAACAATGCTGACTTTCAACGTCTGGTACTAAGGATAGATGTCAAATTGATGGATAACGTCGTGAGTGTTCGTGAACTTGGGACATATATTACACATGCTTATTCACTTCTTACCTCGACGTAGAGTGTTAATTGATGTAGGACTAGGTTGAAAGAGAGCTAAGGGTGACCAAGCCAAAATGTGGCCTCAGTCCGTGAAATCGTTGACTATTGGTCTAAGTCATGCCGGTAGATGCAGACTACCTGACTAGAGTCTACGCGGTTATCATAACCACTGGAGATGTGTAACATGGCTTAGGATAGGTCAAAATGACAAAAGTGTATTTACTCTTTATTTTCTTGTTTCTTATTTATTTATTTTAACACATGAATATTGGTACAAGGAGACACCAAATACATATGCGCCACACAGATCTCATTTGATATGTGTGAGGGCTGTGATACTGCCCGGGTGCCCAAACCGAAGCAGGTGGTTTTCTTAGGGGGCCACACCCGGAGCCTTCGACCTAAAGGTCTGATCCACAAGGAAGTAGAGCATCGTAAGGAGATGCAGTCCCATGGTCAGTCAGTCAGTTAGCTGCAACGTAGGACCAGGCACGTATATGCATCAGTCCCATGGTATCCGGTGACCAACGATTGGTTCATACGCCATTTGTTCCTTCAGGATACTAGAGCCCATGTGCACTATTGGTTTGGGATCCGGTTAAAGCGCCGGACATTCGCTTTTCGTCCTCTCATTTTCGTAAACAACACCCCCGCCACGTGAAGGCAGTGAGTAGGACTTCCCTGGCAGAGGCTATATACGCGTAGCCATATGAGAGTATTTCGAGAGGGAGAGCGGACTCTCCACACTCTCGGTCGTACCAGGGTTTTTGGGGGCACTCTTTATCTTCTGCTAAACCTTGAGTCGTAATACTCCTCCATACATATATTTTCATTCTGTCTCAAATTGTATCGTGGTGCTTTAGTTTCCCTGATTATCATTACTACTACTATTGTTATAACTCATTTATTCATTTTGTCACTTTCGTCTCGTATTGTTGGGGTATGGATACTTTGAATGACACAGATTTGTGATAGGCTGCACATTGTTTATGACGGATTGATTATCCAATCACAGCTGTCTCATGTCATTGTTAAATGATGCAGTCTGCTCATAGTTGATTTTTTGTCAAAAATCATAATTGGAGGTGTTCCACACCTTGATCTCATATCGCGGTTGTATTTCGTAGTGCTTCCAATTCTGTTGTGACTAATATATTGTATGCTGTAATCATAAAACAAAGAAAAGCGCTGTTTACTAAGTAGGTATTACACAGAAAACAAAGAACATATGGAACACACTGATCTATTTGGATTTAAATTATCACAATTCACTTTGAATCATACCCATTATCAATTAATAACTAAGATTTATATTTGGATTATATTGGTGGGTTTATTCAACTTTGAAAGCGACCCTCTCAAACCCAGTTCTTTAAAAGCTGATATTCTGTTTAGCTATACATCATTCTTATTTATAGCCATCTGAGACCTTTTTTCACGTTATTTTACGAAGAATACGTTACATTTTCATTCTGGTTTCTAGAATTATTTTTATATTCACTCCATTTATCAGGAAAGTGTCATCAAAACAATTTTTACCACCAAAGACAAAATGTAACCATTGTTCTACATGTGCATATCACATTGTTCACTAATTTCGTGTACTTAAACCGCACAAATTACAATGAATATATTTGGCCTGAATTTATAACTGCTAAATAAATATTTACTCACAAAAGTTATGAAACGTGAATGTTGAATAGTGATATTATAAAATATTTATTGCCTACTGTACTACAAAACTTTGCCCACGAATGTGAAAGGATTTCTTGTCAAGTTGTAACTGTGTATACGACTGTTTACGTAAGCAAAGTCGTAATATTATGTTTCATAAACGTCTTCCTAGTTATTTGCCATTTTACAAGCTGCTTTTATTTACCAGTTGTTAATTTTTCGAAACTATGAATATGAAATTTGATATTATAACTGCCTTCTTCATTAAAATCTTTGTCAAACCGTATTCTTTCATGCACAAATGTTTGTCATGGTTCATTCTTTTAATATAACGCACATAGACAAATAAATTTATTATAATTTATGTTTCAGTACCAGGTTTAAGTGTTTGGTTCTTTGCTTCTATCAAATAACATGGTCTTTAAATAATTATTGTCTAATTATTTCCTACTGTAATGGTACGTTCAGGCTATTGAATTTAAGTCTAACCGTTGTAATCTGATAATTGGTCGGTTGTACTGTTTCTCCCGTGTAGTATCACTACCTCCCATACTAGAACATGGTAACTAAGTTTTACCACTGTCGATCTGGTCACCGCGAGGCTTCTGTATCTAGTTTATTTTCAACACTATTGACTCAAGGTGTAGTGTAGTCTACTGGGATTCTTTACCCGCACAATACTCCTCAACTAATATCAAGATTGCACACTTTATAAACCCAAAATTTGTCTAGGAATCTTCAAAGAGATTATTCCTCAAATATATATATAACCTCAGCTTATATCTTTTGGAGGTTAAATAATACAACAGTGTTTATTACAGAACACCAGATTAGAACGGTTTTACGATATTCTTATTCATCCATTTCGCCTGATAAGATCTATTATTTGGTTGAGTAATATAACATCATCAATAATTTTTGTTTATTTTGCAAGGGTTGGTAGAGTATCTGGTCGATACATTGTCAGTCAGAGAAGAAACCTACCAGACTGTCTTGAAATCACAGCTTATTTGTTACAGTTAGACAATGAATTATTGTTGTTCAGACGAACATAGAAAGGATATTGGTTAAGATAATTTATATTTACTCAAGTTTTCTTTTTTTGTATACCGCGACCACATAGTATTAATTAGATGTGCCCCCAAACGCCGTGGTACGGCCAAGAGTGGGGGGAGTCCGCTCTCCCTCTCGAAATACTCTCACATGGCTACGCGTATATAGCCTCTGCCAGGGAAGTCCTACTCACTGCCTTCACGTGGCGGGGGTGTTGTTTACGAAAATGAGAGGACGAAAAGCGAATGTCCGGCACTTTAACCGGATCCCAAACCAATAGTGCACATGGGCTCTAGTATCCTGAAGGAACAAATGGCGTATGAACCAATCGTTGGTCACCGGATACCATGGGACTGATGCATATACGTGCCTGGTCCTACGTTGCAGCTAACTGACTGACTGACCATGGGACTGCATCTCCTTACGATGCTCTACTTCCTTGTGGATCAGACCTTTAGGTCGAAGGCTCCGGGTGTGGCCCCCTAAGAAAACCACCTGCTTCGGTTTGGGCACCCGGGCAGTATCACAGCCCTCACACATATCAAATGAGATCTGTGTGGCGCATATGTATTTGGTGTCTCCTTGTACCAATATTCATGTGTTAAAATAAATAAATAAATAAATAATTGGATGTACTTCATTGAGGTACCAGAGAAAATCCTAATTATTGTGAGAACTATAGAGGGAACACGCCACTCTCGTTACGGGGGGGGGAGTTTTCAAATGTTTCTGAAGCGAATAAAAGATTCATTAGATAACGAAATTCACCGCCTGGAAGCTGGGTTTGGTAAAGATGATTCATTTATCGACCGAATTGCGATACTGCGAATAATTGGTGAATAATAAATTGAATTGGACTTTACGTCGACTTTCTTGTTTCTGAAAATGTTGTTCGACAGCGTGAATAGGTAAATCTCAGGAAATCCTCTTTGGTTCTATGGAGTACCCGAAATGATGGTCACCACCATGTGGGACTCCTACTGTGGACTGACTTTTCAAGCCGTGATGTCGAAGAAGTACGCATATCCTCACGTTTTCTTTTTCCTTAAGTTTCTGACTGGATTGTGAAGACCTTCACGGATTAAGAAAAAGACTGTACAGATTATATATATGTTTCATCGCATACACACCAATGAGTCTTCATCATTCAGAAAAGGGTTCTTTAGTTACTTGTACTATTACAAATACAGCTCAGCAACTAGCACTTATCAACAGTCTCATCTGACCACTTTAAAATAGTAGCTTTTACAATTTTCTTTCTTAACCTTATTCATCGATACTAATTAGCTTCGTGAATTTTTTCTTCCACATATTGTTCACTTAAGTGTTGTTAATTGGAAAGTATATACATCGATTTTTCTAAAAATAATTATGGTATCAGTCTATGTACTTTCTGAGTTGATCTGTTGATATATCTTACCACATAGCTCACTCACTAGTATATTAGAACATGTTAGTGTGCAACAATATGCTATCTCGTTAAAAACATAAATTGCATAATTACATATCTTTTTCCTAAAAATTATATGAAGGAGTGCGAAATACTTTTCTATCGTAGTCAAGTAAAGAGTTAATTATATAAACTTTTATTTATCACTAGGTAGTTGTGCAATCCAAAAGTCTTGTGATCGACGACGTGTGAGGATGTGTGTATATTATGTTCCGTTCAAATAGTGTCTGACAACAAGTATCCAGTCATTAATTATATGATTGAAATGCCTAAGGAAAAGTTTTAGACATCATCTTTCTGATATTGGTTGGTAGTATTGCTTAGAGTTGACCTTAGACCTAGACCTAGAAATTCATTTAGAGAAACTTTAAAATGGACATGATTGGCTAAAATCAATGTATGCTTATGTTTAATCGCAAGATGATAAATACAGCTGTTTGTTTTTTGACTTCAGACGTTCATCTATACTAACTGCTATAAATACCATAACATTGTTTTGATCCAATAGCTATGAGGATCATAGTTCAGATTAGCGTAAATGCGATATTGCAATGTAGTTACCTTATAGTTTCTTCCATTATACTTTTGCTTCAGATAAAGTAAATTGTAACTCAATATATATCTTTTCATGTATGTAATAGTTCATCTACTTTTATACCAGTTCTACGTTTCCATTGAAAATATTCACTTTTTAAAAATAAAATTTATACAGATATTTCAAAATTAACTTTAATTTCTCCTTGCATTCAGTGGGTCATGTTATCATTCATTAAATTTCTATCTTATATAACCCAATATCTTTGCATTCCGCTATTCGTTACATTTTCTCCTTTATAATCAATTAAACTTTGCTCAACCGAACAAACAGTATTTTAGCATTTAAAACTCAAAATATTCCACAAAGTATCATCACTCGTTCAGATATTTGGACCATACTGTTTAAATCCCTCCAAAATACACAAATCGTTTGTAACAGCCTGTAATATATCGGCCGGTTTGTATGCTATTATCCTATGGATAGTTTTCTTTGATATACCTTACAGAAAAGGCAGTCTACTCAAGGATATATATATTCCTTAAGACGTTGTTTTTAGCTACTCATATTTGGATTATGTGATTTTCTAGGCGCATAGATGCAGCAGTATTTTTATTGGGGTTACAGTTGGATGGTGATAAATCGCTGAACTTTACAAATTTGTATTCATTTTGCATTGTGTAGTTCTCAGAAAGATAGGGTTAGCTACTGTTTTGTATGTAGTAATGAAGTTTCGAATTGTATACACACTAACTTATAAGGGGTCACATGTAAACTTTCTAAAATAGGACTTTGATCATTCCTGAGGAGAGTCAATATCAGACTGTTCAACAACAATAACTAGTAAATATAATACGGGTTTTTCCTTTATAAATAAATAAATAATTTTGGTAACTGATCATGTGATGTAAATCCACTTGTTTGAGTAACCTTTTTTCTGTCGTAATGATATTTTGTGTCTACTTTGGTATCGATCCTTTTTGTCTGTTTAGTGTACCTCGAAAGATTATTTCCAATAATTTTTTTTACTCATTTTCAGTGTTTTTGAATGCTATATTTCTTTTTCAATTAACGCTTTTAATCAGCAAACAAAATCATCCATCCCTTGCATAATATCTCATTAACATTCCTAATGTGATATCAGGTACTACTCAACCCTTATTGACTTACGTTATCTCTGTACTCAGGCAGTTAAGAAGGTTTTTATTAGACTTATAAAATTTTTAATATTAATGTACGTCCTTTTCAATTTTCCTTAGGTTTAAGTGGACTCGTAATAGTCAATTTTCCATTTTACACCTCATTATAGTGATATTTTGATAATATTTATGTTTTTTTATTATGTGAGTTTTCCATTGATTGACTGGTAGACATTAAAGGCAAAACGATATCAATTTTCTGTCCATCGATCTTTCGTGTCTCAAATTTTCCTTTATGCTCATGACAAACACGTACGTATGCATTTATAGTATACAGTTCTAATTTTTGATATTCCGACAAAATAGGTGGTCGGAACTAGTCACAGAAAACCCTGAACGTAGTCCTAGGGTTGGCATAATTCATCAAGATATACTTTCGATCTTGTGGTTATGGCTACTCGTTGTAGTATTCATACTCACCTCTCAAAATTTCAAAGTCTGAAAGATTACCACAAGCTCTTTGGTCAGCTATCGACACGTAATTCGTCTCAAACTGTTTGCTTCAATTGTAATATTTGTAGTCAGGTAGAGGAAACCCTTATTTTTTTACAATAAATAGTTGATAATAACTTATGTTAATTGACTGTTTAGCTTATTGGTTGGAGAGAATCATGAATTTGCTGACTGATATTTTTGATTAACATGTATTTTAACTGCCATATTCGAAGGTGTCTGTTGGTTTCTATCGTATTATCTTTAAGGATCTTAACTGTATCTGTTGGGTTATAATGTTTCACCGATCATTGTTGTCAATCAGAATAACTCTGTTTGATGCTATCTTATTTGTCAGAAGGAAAAAGGAATACTAACAAATGTACACATTTTTGTTAGGCGTAGACATGTTCATTCCTTGTACTCCACTTTCATTTGTTCAGGACTAATAATAATACTACACAGTCATGATTACCTTAATTCTTACTTGGGATTATTTATTTCTTTTGATTTTCATCAGTAAATGGTTTTATAAAATCTCAAATGTTAATTTAAAATAAGATTCATGCGACGATTAGAAAAATTCTTATCATAACAAAAAACATCATTAATGTTTTGAATTGGGAAAATTAAAGTACAGATTACTCAATTAATGGAAGTTTGGGTGATCAACTGTGTTTTATTTCAGTTATTCAAATAGTAATTCCTAATTAGTTATGTTATATGACTATTATGTTTCATATTATTGTCCCTTTGTTCTCTCAGTTGGGTATTCCATTTGTGTTCGGTTTCTTTATGTTGATACACAGCATCGTCATCATGAACTTCGAAAGATAATTGATTTACTAGTTTTTTCTTACCTAGCTAACAGTTTGTCCTGTCCACTTAAAATGTGATAAGTTGTTTATACTAATTATGATGTCAATGTTTGCACATATGTGTTTATTGTCTATACTCTTGTATTAATCTCTGACCTCGTGTTTGATCATTACTATTTTCATTGGATAGTATATCAAGTCTATCAAAATATGTCCCTGGATTGTTTAATGTTCTGTGTGACATGCTCCTTTTTGTATTCTTTATCCGATATTTCAACACCTTCAGATTCAAATGTTTCAAAAGTCAGTCAGTTATTATCGTTGTAGAACCTGGAACAATTTTACGTTCGTCTTCATGACCTGACTGTTGCTGCTGTCTTGACGTGGTGATTGTACTTGCTTATCGCTTATACTGACTTAAACAATCGTTTCTCAATGTCCTACCACGCCAGAAAGGTCGGTTGAAGAACGGTAAGACTAAGAGCAGCAAACCCAAAGTCCGAGGGCGAAGTAATACTGCTGACTGTACAGAGTTATGACAACAGTAAGGTGTTTCCCTCAGACAACCAGCATAACAGCGATGCTGCCTTGCCACAAGGAAGGGTGTGCTTAGAAAAGATCGACCTTAAAAAGGTACACATCGCCTTATTCTACGGGTTTCCGTCTTGGGCGGTAAGTTCTCAACAGGTACGGAGCCAACGCGAAAATTACCCGCAAAAAGGTCGTACGTGACCGGCCTCAAACAGTTGTCCCTTGGGCACTGCGGTCACTTTCTCAAGTCACTAAGACCATCTCTGTCCCAATTTCCTTTTCAGGTACCTCCGGAAGAACCCTTCTACGGTGTGAGCAACTGGGAAGTGATAACCGCCCTCACTGCAATACTACATCAAAATGATGAAATAAAATAAATACAATAAATAGTAAAGGAATAAAAATAATCATGGTAGCATTGATACTGTGAAAGATTAAATAAGTATTTCAGAAGAGCAAGCTAAACACTTTGTCTTTATCTGATGTGTGTAGCAGTATGCTAAATTGAAATGACTAGTGTCTTACCTCCCTCCCTCCCTCCCGCTATGCCTTTCTCCTTTCATCATTTACCACTTACATATTTAGTAATAGAATGTCTAATTGATCATGCTTACCAGTGTTTTGTTTTCATTTTTCAATCTTTACAGAGGCTTATCGAACTGGTGAAAAAGACAATTGTATGCCTCCAGTTTGCCAGAGTAAGTTGAATATTAATGACAATAGCCCATGAATTAATATGAATTGAAATTTGTTTCCGAAACAGACTAATATCAATCGTGACTGAGCAGTATTTTTTGTTGGCTTCAAATTCACTAACGGTCTACATTCTCGTTTCTACGTCTCTTTGCTTATTAGAATACGTGGATTTGGTTTTTCTAAGAGGCTGACAAGATATTTGTATCCCCTTGTCAACGTGAGATTTTACTTTCTATTTGATCTGCATCATTGCTGGTTTTGCCATAGGAAATGAGGGTGCTAATCACTTCACTTATCTTGGGATTTTCATCAACTCTGTTAGGTTTCTATATGAATAACCTCTGTAGATGTATAGAAGGCTCCCATAACTGTCGCCTATCTGCAATGTTCTAGTTAGCGTCTACTCAATAATCTGGTTCATTGATTGGGGATTTTTGGCGACATGGCACAAAATCAGTCACAGTGATGTAGTTACACTCATCCTGTCTGTTCTTCTAAGTTTTGTGTTAAATTTATTTTCTGACTCTTCACTCTTCAATCTTATTTCTTTTAACGGTTTCCCTCATGTTTCAGCATTCATTGGAGTTGAACTTAAGTGCTCTTTGTTTCCTATCTTGTTTGCTTGCTTTTCCGCTATGCTGACTTCAGGTACGGCCCAATCGTGACTGTCTGCTATTGCCTCATTTCCTAAAATTAACTCAATAATTTTGATTATAATTAATAATCTCACAAATCCTTTTTATTTTAGTGTTACAATTGATGGGTGTTTTTTAGTTGTATGATATGCACCACTTATTTATTGGGAAGGTCGTTTTTATTTGACTAATGGTTTTTCTATAATATTTCCCGCATTTTTTATTCTAAGATTTTGGCGATTTGAGGAGATATCTGAGATTGTTAGCGTACGACCACTTTTGTATTGAAACCTAAAAATATCTCATATTTGTTAACTAATGTCATAAAATTTACACTAATTGCATTAAAAAAATATTGAGAGTGTTATGTTGCTAAAGTTGCTTGTTAAAAATTGTTTTATCATATTGTGGTGAACTAGAACACAAGTGGGGTCAACCAGATGTATTTGAATACAAAATTACAGGACATCTTAGTAAAATCTGAGAACTATCCAGTAAATACTTAATCTGCAAAACGTCAATCAATTATCTCAAATTTGACCGTTCCTTCATTTCCACAGCAAACATTTTCTGTTCTCGTTCTCTTTTCTTCGATCTTCGTAACCTTCTACCTCCAGGCATTTCACTTTCGGTTGATGATACATACTACTTATATCTATCGACATCAGTAGCATACTCCACAATATTTTGCTAAACTAGTTATCATTGAAATACTTCAGTGTTTTCGCTTACAGTTTTTTATGTCTTTATCGATTTTATCAAATACATTAATTTTGATATCCTGGGTTGTGATCTAGCGTCTCATGATTTTAGCTTCATCTTTGAGACTTCCTAACGTTCTATGGTACGACTATAGTGTAGTTCACTCATATTCCTTATAGTTTACTTTAGTATACTTACGTTTCTCCGTTATTCTTGCTTTATTAATTGCTATCCGGTGTATTTTATAACGTTAGGATCACTCGGACAGTGTCTTAATTCTTTATGTAACGCGTTTAGTTTTATTATTGATGTGTGTATACTGTGGGCGATGTTGTCTTGCCTCATATTTAGCTTATCTCTATAGTTTGTTAGTTAAGTATATATGGCTAGAATTGATAACCATATTTTTTATGTTTTTGATAAATGTTCACCGAATGATTATATTTCAACTGTTCAAAAATCATGCAACTTCCTTTCACTTACTTAATTACCCCTGTTACTCTTTCTGGGGGTGCATAGGCCACCCACCAACGCTTTCCATCCAAACCAGTACTGGGAAATCTTATCCAGTTGCTATTCATCCATTTCATGTCTGCAGCTTCCTTTCGCAGTTTTATTTAAATGTTGATTTACGTTTTTTAAAAATCTATTCTTGTACTTACTAGTGAACCGTTTGCTTACGTGTACTTAGTTGATGACAGTTTGGTTCAGCATTTGATATTTGTGAATAGATTTTGTTGTTTAGTATAGATGTGCCTTGTAACGGGTTTCGCAGAGATTTTTTTTAAAAAGTAACTACTTCTACTTTTTTATTCAAACTTTAAGCGTCTAGTCAGTTGTTCGAGTTAGTTTATTTGTGACTAGTAAGTAGTTTTCAATCTTTGTTTACTCATACAATGCGGTCACCTATTTTGACTTGGAATATTTGCTTAAATACATGTACGTTGATCAATATCTTTGCTCGAGCACTGTACCAATATCTAACTGACACTAGTCTACAAAAGCTATCAATAACTGGTTTAAGTTGTATAAGGGAATTTGCATTTTCTACATATATATATATATATATATATATATATATATATATATATATATATATTCTTATGCTGTCTAGTTTTTAGTCTATTTTCTATTGATTATGTCAGTCCATAACAGTAAATATTAGCTTAACAGAATGTAAACAAATCGATGGTGGACATTTTTTATTTAGAAAAGATATATAGAGTATATAATTTACTTCTCATAACACCTAATGTTCAGCTGAATGTTTATTCTACTATTACTTCATATTTATTACGCTAAGTTTCTGTAAATATTTTCCCCATATTTATGGAATATATATATATATATATATATATATATATATATATATATATATATATATATATATATATATATATATATATATATATATATATAGTATTTAAATACGTGTACTCTACTCATGGTTTCAGTGATACTCTTATCTTTGTTTTATGTTTTTGTTTTGAACTTATCAGGGTGACGCAATAAGGAGGAAAGTTCGTATACTTCTGTTAACAGGATCCTATTTTACCATAAGTGGTCACAGTAAATAATTGTATCGGTTAGTATTTGAAGTTAATTGTTGGTTGGTGTACAATCTATTAGGGTTGTATCGTGCTTATATATCCAATCCATACCTAACAGAAAGGTCATTGGATTAATATTGAAGATTCACTTTGCTTCTACGTCTATAGTGATACTCTATATTTCGTCAGTTATTCTTTTTCTGTAACTAGTATATTTTTGTCACCGTTTAAATATTATTTAGAATTAGTGATTATTGTGGAATGATGGTATATCTGTGTATTCTTAGAGTCGATCTAATAAATCTATTCGTATTCGCGAATTACTGGATTTAAGTTTTTTTCAAATGACTGAATTCAATTTCCAGTATTATCTTTTTTCTATCATTCATGTAGAACACATGAAAAGTTATTTTTCATTCCTGTTTTTGTTTGAATTCTACAAACTAAGAATTGATAGTATTGACAAGTCATTGACTGAATGTAATATATGCAATAGTTAAGTGTACAAATGTGTAACTGGCTATTCATTCTGGTGCATTCTAGTCTTTTCAAAGATTTTTTTGTAATACCTTGCCAATTATTGGAAATAATTGTTTGGCTTATCCACTCATAATAGGCATATATCTCATTTACTTGATGAATGTGGCTAATTGCATGTAAGAATGCATGATGGCTTCAATTCACAGCTTGGATGTTCACTGTATTCTTTGTTTACATTTCGGAAACTACTTTGTTACACGTAGTTTTGTTACTTGACGGTTTTCTTTCTTTTCGTTTAACTTTAACCATTTTATGGATTATTCACATTATTTCCCTTGCCAAGATTATTTTTTTTTAAAGTTCTAATTAGGAAAATCCTTTTTAACATTTAGTGCTCAAGTTACAATTTCGATTATTGTTTAGGCGAATTCATCTTTCATGTATTTCAATCTCCATAGCTGCCACTTGTCACAGTCCGAAAGCTTTCTGCACTGTAGGGCAATATGGTGACGGTTTTGGATTTAAATTAATTGTTCTACATATCGCTTTGCAACATTATTTATGATGTTTTTCGGTTTCGGTCTTATGTATCAAATAATTTTTTGTGGGATTTTTTGATTGAATGAAACAACAAATTTACAAAAAGTGAATAATGTTTTAAATGTTTGTTTAATGCAAAAATATATCTCCTCTTTTAGGTCTGTAGTATAGTTTTACAAAATGGAATAGGTCATTTTCGTTTGGCCAAATTACAAGTTACAATCAGCATCTAAGTCTACTTATTCTATCGTAATAATAGTAATATTACAGTATGTATGTTTGTCGGTCTCTATTTTGTTTATTTCACTTCAATATAATATAATAATAATATAATTTTTATGAAAGCACAACATAACTGACCATCAAAATACGTTCTTTTCCTCTTGTAAAATCATATGTTTTTGTACAAGCTATTGAACAATTCGGCACGATTGGTTTTGATAATGATGGTTACTTTTTTAGATAAATTACGGTATATGTTCCATAGATGTTGATCAGTATTAAACGGATCAATAAGCAGATTAAATTTCAAATTCGAAATTCTTTTACAGGCGCTGTTTGTCATAGTTTAGTAGAAAAGATGTTTACTAATGTGACGTGACCCACAGTAGCATGCACCGATCATCACGAAGTTGATCTAACCGTATAATTTTGGTTGTAAAGCTCTGCGATAAGAAGTGTTTTACTTGTATGCTTGTTATATCTGTCCTCGCGAAGCCTGAAGTTTACTGGCGATGATGTTGCGTCACTCCCGAAGAGTTGCTCACATACAGGGGCCTGTAATAAAATGTAGTGTAATTCATCTTTTAGTTTTCTTTTTCATTACCAATTAATGATGAAGTATGGCTTAAATGATGTTTACTACGTTATTGTCCTTATTTCAACTTAATCGTTTAGTTTGCTTATTTCATCCCTTAAATTTCCATACTAAAGTGTCATTTCCTTTGTTTTGTCGCATTTGTTTTCTCTGTGGTTCCACTAATTTTTGTTGTATAAAGAAACCAGTAATGAAAATATCCGGATTACTCATATGAATTAATACATTTTTTCTTTTAAAGTAAGATAAATTATTCGTTATAAATCACAAAAAACTTATTTACTATTTCACTTCACAGGTAAATTGTTTCATTGTTCAATAACTAGTTTCTTATATATATATAACATCTCATAATGGATATTTGGATGTTGCAAGGTTTATAACACGTCCTGGAGAGATAACCCCTAAGTAAAGTTCGAATTAGTAGATTCATATTTAGTGATGTATTCTGTTCCTACTTTGAATAAGTAATAACTTCAACTATTTTTAGTGTGCACGTACACTATCTTTTATAATTGTATTAGATAGTTGTGCAGAATATATATATATATATATATATATATATATATATATATATATCAGAAGTGTTCATTCAGAATAATTTCTGAATGGCGCCTGTTCATATAATGTATTCGTATTTTTCAATGTTGTCCCTAATTTTGTATGAACTTCATTATGGCTGTAAATTGGGGTAGATTCTGTTATCATTTTCACAGTATGTTATTAACTTGATAATTATTTTCTATTGTTTTTGAACCTATCTTTGCAGTACTTGCTCTTTTATACGTATTTTTATCAAACCATATTGCTTATCTATACTTGGTTTTGTAGGGTCTATGATTTTAAGGTTGTATCATTCAAATTAGATGAGTTACATCCTCAGTACCTTTTTTGTATGCATAGGTCGCTTAAATTTTTCAATTTATAATGTTTTTATTATTATCATTATTTTTCAAATCACCGTGTAAATTCTAGATTTCTACATTGCTATCAGTATATCCTAAATAGTCACAAAATGAACTCATTGCTAGCGGGTTAATACAGAAGATACCTTGTTTAACTAATTGCTTTGTTGACCTAATAGAATAAGACACATGACAAGGATATTGTTTATTTTTAATGAAGTATCTATAATTCATTAATATAAATCAAATAGTATTGAGTAACATTTTTGATAAATTTGCTTTCGTTTTAACTATTATATATGGTTTTAAGTTTTTGATTTATCAACATACTTTGATTAATATGGAAATAAATTTTTTGCATTTGAATCTCAAAACATTATCTTTCTCATCTTGAAAATATCTCTTTCTGTATACACTTAAATTTAGGGTTCAGTCAATGGTTCATATCGTATACCGATTACTTTGAATGACAACATTGTTCCTGATGCAGTTGACATTCCGCACACTTTACAATTCGATACGTCTAGATCAAACAGTGCTTTTTCTACATTGAAAGTGAAAGGTATATCCCATTGTTCTAAAGTTATTTATTTCATTCATAGATTAGGTCGAATATGTGTTTGTTCTCTTTAATTTAATTTCTCAATGTCAATCGAATTTATATATATATATATATATATATATATATATATATATATATATTAGTTATTGTTATTCCAGTTCTTTCCGTCATCAATCTCTATTACTTTATATTGTATTATAATATTTCAATGTTACACTTTAATAGCAATACGATCGTAATCAGCTGAAGGGAAGCGATAAAATAAAACAAGTTCATATTATTTTGCTTTATTCAAATTCGTAAAGGGGAACCAATTGTATCTAATAGATTATTTACAACGTAGTTACTTATCATTTAATTAACCTTTAACATGTAAGAATTTTACATATATATGCCTCCATCCAAATTGTCTAAAATCTTAGCAGAAATATGCTTATATTAAAATGTCAAATCTTTTCTAAGTCAGTCCTGTTATTTACCTAGCTGTGAATTTAATTTAGTGGTGTTTTCTATCCCAATAAATGTCAGTTATTTATATCATGTAGTGTAATTTTAGTGTATGATAATTTTTCCAGGATCGAGGCTTGTTTCAGATATCCTGTGACTATACAAATAACTCATAGACGAAAGCACTTCCATGTGACATTAAACTGTTATATTCTTTAATTCGATCTTCCAACCCTTGTCACTAAATTAAATGTTATGTCTGTACTTACCTTCTGTCTTGGCAAACTGCTTTACTGATTATTGCTTCAAATCATCAGAAATGCATTTCTAAACTTCTGATTTCACTTGTACCGTTGTAGATACATTTTTTAACTCAACTTTGTGTACTAATTGTTCATTATCATTGTAAAGTCCTAGTCTGAATAACTCTCTCATATGTATTTTTTATCATTGTTATTTTTACTTCATTTTTCAGATTATGATTTAAAAGTACATGGGATAAATCATACATTTATGAACCTTCAAAGTGGTGAAGGTGACGGTGAAAATCCATTCACTTCTTGTCAAGAGTCCTTATCTAGTGCTTCCCCTATTATAACACAGAAACCCTCCAGAAAACATTCTACTCGTAATTCTCGACGTTCGGAAAAAGGCAAATTACACAAGCGGCCATCTTCTACTACAGAATCATCTATCGAATCCCATTCAATACGTTCACATCCTGAGCAGCTAGCTACTATTTCTTCATCGCTCCCTAATGATACTGTGATTGTTAAAAGATGCTTTGATGCATTAGATTCACCCTCTTCTAATTATCCACCACTGTCCATCCCAAGAATGCCAGTTAGGTCTTATTCTTCTTCAGATGATGATCAGGCTCAATTGGATCAAGAAGAAGAGGATGAAGAATTCTTTGATACTCAAGAAGATATTTCTATCAACTGCGCAACAACGAATTCCCCACAACCTGTCAAGGAGTATGTAATAATTCATCCTAATTCTGTAGTTATTTTTTCTATGAATTTGTCTAATTAGTTAAATCCTAACATAATAGTTTTATGTGTTTGTTGCTACTCATATTAACAGTATGTAATACTTTCAAATACGGATAATTTCAGAACATTCCGTTAGCTTGAATTTCAGTTCATTTTAGGTTTATTATGTACATATCTTATCTCGAAATAGTGAAACTAATTGATAAAAGTTTAGCATGAGAATTATAGTAAGTAGAGATTCTGTGTGTTGAACTCCTGTTTTCCAGTTTGAACACTGAATTGCCGTCTTCATAAAGACTTCATCTGTGAATGCGTATGATTTGAATCTAACTACTATATCAGTTCTTATTTATTGAAGAGTTGAAAGTTAAAATATCCCAACTTTTTTTATTTACTGCCTGAGGTAAATATTAAATGTATTGAATCGTAACGAACAGTAACTCGCAAAGTATACACTATTGGTTCAAAGGTCCCACCAAAGTTCGTCGTCATGTGGATCTGTTGAAGAATGAAATGAAGTTGTGATCGTAATAGAATTATTGTATTATATTGAAATAATAAAGCTTTATTTATTTATTTAATTATTGATGAATAATACCTTATGAAAATCTGTTGATTAGGTTGTATATCTTGATCGATTGCGGTAGTTGAGACATGTTTTATGTATGTCCAACTACTGTTTTTCTTGATGTACTATGTAGGGTTAGGTTGCTACCGACTGCCGAACTTAAAGCGTGATATCATCCATGAATTCATTGGCGGAGCCGTGCAAATAAGCTCAGACCACTTTATCGGGGTCCTCGCGATTACCGTAACCATTGCTAGGAGACTTTGGGTGTGATATACCTCTGAATCAGTCATAAATGATGAAGTCTCATCCACTCCGTCTTTCCTTAAACATTATGTTTCCGAAATAACTTAAATTACTATTTATTTTACTTTTTGTTTCACAAATCCAGAGATTCTGGGATCATATTTTCCATGCATAATTCTTCCTAATACCATTAGCACTGGTACTACTCCTACTAATTTGGCTTCTCGACATACTGACGTGGTGGTGAAACTTGACACGATGCACATATGTACCAGGTTGTACGTTGTGCATAAGCGGCTGATGGGAACCTCATTCAACTTTGTACAAATTTGTAACCAGCTGACCCCATGTTTACATTTTTCTGGGGTAACATTATTTATCACCATTCGTTTGAGATAGGTTTTCAGTAGGACTAATTATTGTATTATGTAAAAGACTTTATTAGGTTAAGTATTAAAAACTTGATTTTTTCTTACACGCTAACTTGTGTGTGTGCCACAAGTTCTCCCACAGAATTTCAAATTATCACTAACTAGTCAACATTGAAATTCTTCAATAATCAAACCCAACCTTTTAATAGAGTAAACGCTATCGTAGCCATTATAAATTCAAGTGTTAATTACACTCGTATTAAAAGTCAAAACTTATTCTGATTGCCAAAAGGTCATTTGAGTATGACCTTCACATTCTATTACTTCTTGGTTGCTGATGATTGGATATAATCGTAACAATGCTGTTGTTAATTGTTTCGTAATTACTACCAACAATGAAATGCTGTCTTTTTTCTAGGAATAAAGATATGGACTCACAAAATTTAATAACTAAAATATTTTCATGAATGATATTATATTATCATCGATTTATATACAAGACGATACTATATATAACGATGAGTTTTTAATTATTTTACGTACTAAAACTCAACATTATCTCGAGATTCTTATAGCCATTTAAGCGTCGTAAGTTTGTTTGTACGCGCGTGTATGTACGTTCACGCATGAATATAACATATTTTTCTAATGCCAGTGTACCTGTGAGATTTGTGTGCGAACAGAAATTGTGTTTTTCGATTGCGTAATATCTTATTGCACACTATTTTCGATTTGTTCTTAATATATATTTGATAGTTTGGTTACGTTCGTACAAAATTACTGTGACTACTTTTCGTAGATGTGTGCTACTGGTATGTTTGATATTGCTCATATTTATACAATTCCATTTGAAAATCGTCTTGGGCACAATTTATCTATCCAAAATATTCAAAGTCATTGCTTCACGATTGTATTCAAGATTCTGCTAGACATGTATATGTTTATTGTTGTATAGTATAAATAGTAGTAGTTTCATTATTGTGAATAATCACACGGTTTTATAAATTCCTATCATGCAACTCGATAACCAAGTAATAGATCATGTTCTTGTCTTTTGGCCTCGGGTTTTTCGTCAATAATAGTAACATTAGTTTGTTGTTCAAATAGAATGAGAGGGTTCGTTACCGGTGTTGGTAGTCGATTATCTTAGACTCGAATTACATGATTGCTACTATATAGGCTTTTTTTATTTCTATGCATTCACACAGACTACAGTGTTTTCATGTACATTTTTTCTATTTCTCCATTCTTTCATTTAAACACATCACTTTTGTCTTTTAGTAATACAAATATCAACATGCATTCAAATCCAACTGTTCCTGTAACGAAATCTGGTCGTTATCGTTCAAGTCAGTCATCATCAAATAATCAGACGAATTTGTCTTTGGATGATACCTTCGACGAATTGTATGATGATGAAAATGAAGAAGAGTGTAAGTAAATTAAATCATAATCGTTCCTGCAAAATGCTATTGTTTATGTTTTTATGTGTACATTTAACTATCATAATTCAATTATATGTCATACCGTTTACTTAACTCCATATTTTAGAGAGTTGGTTTATATCTTTTGTTGTAATTACGGTTAGTAATGATATCATGATTGTACTGATCTGTAATGTTAATTTATTGATACTTGTTTTACACTCATAAAGAAGATTTCTTTAATATTCATGAGGGTAGGGTCCTGAGAAAAAAACTTCACTAAAAAAAAAATTAAACTCGCTGTAATTCATTGTTACCTAAATTCATACTTGAAGATTCAAACCTAAAATGTTTATAATCTAGTCATAAATACAAGTCTTTTGCGTTACAATATTTGATTTCGTGTCAACCAACTTTTTTTCTAAATATCTTCTGGAGTATAAATTAAAAGATATACTACTTGATATTTACCAATCTCTGTTGACGATTTGTAAACGTAATTCTCCTCACTGGGCGTTTGATATCAATCCTAATCTCTAAAATAAACATCTGTGAGAGACTATTGTATCATTTGGTTGGGAGTCTTATTTTCCTTTTTAGCTACAGCATACACGAAGTTGGAGGTCTCCTTGCGTTACTGTACAGTCGTAGTCATGTGTCATTTTGGTTAATATGCACGTACTGGTTTGTACTGTTTCTTCTTTTAGCTGCAGAATTCAGGTGTTTGATTGGATGTTATTGTTCTTAATATGACTGCTATGTCAGTTGTTTTTGGATGCTTCAGTAGTGGCTTTAATATCACTATAGTTGGATTTTCAGTGTTTGAATTTGATTGCTTGAGTGGGATATTGGTTTATTTAATAATTAAATGGATTTTGTCTTTTGTTCTTCTTACTGAAATACTTATTCTTGAAATATAATTTTTACATATAATGGTTTTCTGGTTATGATATAGTTAAGTGAGCTTGTCGTTCGACATGTGGTCTTTTTCTTAGTTCTACTAAAGAGCACGGCCTTCAAGCTTCACACTTGTTATTACGATCGCCTATTTTCTATCACAGTGAGAAGTATATTTCTAATGAATCTGTTTTCTTTGTTCAAGTTAAACTATGAGTACTTTTGTAGATTTTGTCAAAATTTAAAACAACCAGTATTTCTTAAGTTTACTTATTCTCACTTCTGTATTTTGTTGTTTATTAAGTAGGTTCTGTGCAATCTCACGGTTCTGTAATAACACATCTTCTTTCTCAGCTTCGAATCGGAATGGATTTAACTAGAATCACTTTGCCCACATTCATTCTCGAACGTCGTTCTACACTGGAAATGTATGCAGACTTTTTAGCACATGCTGATTTATGGGCTGTTATTCCTAATGCATCAACGCCTCGTGATCGTATGGTTGCTTGTCTTCGGTGGTATTTATCTGCATTCCATGCTGGCAGACGATCGTCAGTTGCTAAGAAACCTTACAATCCTACATTAGGTGAAATATTTCGTTGTTATTGGCCTTTATCTAAAGAGAGTGGAGATGATTCGTCAAATGCATCAGAAAAACCACAGGACAAATTATATAATTCTGGTCCTGTTCCTTGGGCGCCTAACAATTCCGTAGTCTTCTTAGCAGAACAGGTAGGTCTCCACTGTTGTCATATCTTCTGTTGTTGATTCTATTGTTGTCTAAAGCTTTGCTAAATAGACATATTTATTTAAGTTGTCTTCATATACGTTTTTTCAATTCTCTCTATTATATAATAAAATCTACCGAATTTCTAAAGATCATACTTTCGTGATTATCATGAATTATACGGTTTTTTCATAATGTGAGGCATATCAGACTTTTTTCCATTTGTGATTTCGCTGTACTATTGTCACACCAATACAGTTTCTCCTTTCATTTATCCAATTTTGTAGCATTAATTAGTACCGATACAAACAAAAATAGCTAGTCATCGTTGTTCGATCTGAAAACATTTCTATTCAGTGGTTTATTTTTTGCAAATAGAAGTATATTTTGTTCACTGAACAAAAGTTTACGAAAACGTTAACTCAGTGTTTTTCAGGTATATGAGACCAGTCACTGTAGACAAACCAAAATGTATTTGTTGCATTGAGGAAATAAGAGGGCATATACTACATACAACTTCACCTTCAACATGGTGCACTTATTTTTCATATCCAGAATGTTAAATTCTAGAAATTTTATAAGTTATAGTTACCAGTTAGTTGTTGTGATTTATGTGGAAATCGTTACTAGATGGTTCATGAACCAGTCACAATATTATGTGTCTTGTACATGTTATGTGAATAAACATATCATTAATATGACATTTATTGAAATTCTGGCATTCCGTAAGCATGCTCAATACATATTTCATTTTTATCAGCGATACTGATCATCAAACATGTGATATGATCGTATTTCTAAAATGTTTATTTTTTAAATTTCTGCTATTAGGTCTCACACCATCCTCCTATATCCGCCTTTTATGCTGAACATGTTAATAATCAAATAGCTGTAGATGGACACTTGTGGACTAAATCAAAATTTCTTGGTCTAAGTATAGCTGTAGAAATGGTTGGTTCAGCTGTCATATCATTACTAAATCATAATGAAGAATATGTGGTTACGTTTCCATGTGGATATGGCAGGTTGGTATACATTCCTGAGCGATTATTTACATTATAGTGTGGATTGGGTTAATCGATCCATTTTTTTGGGTTGTTTTTTGTTTTAGTTGCTGCTTGCCTGGAAAGAAATAATTAATTTCATTTCAGAATACGTAATCCTATCTAAAACTTGTGAATTAATAGGTTTTTTATAATATAGATTTGAGTACAATAATGTTGTTGAACTAATTTGAAGTGGGTTTTTTTTTACATTTTTACCATTCACCAGATAATGATGTATCAGACTAACAACGGACTGTTGAAGCACTGATTTCGTTTTTTCGTTTTTAACAATGCTCTTCGCCGTTAATTGATTACATTTTTAAGCAGTTAGGTATATTTTTGTTAATTTGATGTTATTGCTAGCGCCTATTATCGGTTATTTTGGACTTGTGTTAACCAGTTTAGCAAAATTACGGAATTAGGAATCAATAACATCCATGATAAATATTCCATATATTTCTGATCTAATTTTTTTCTTTGATATGTCAGTCCATTAAACTAAAGTCTGGAAGCTAAGTATCGTATGATTTTCTAAATATAGAACACAATTTGTTTTATTTTGAAATGTTAGTACGAAATTTCCTCTAATTAGGTTATATGATTGATTGAATGAATTTGGTAAACAAATCATGTGATACAAGCTCCTATTATACATAGATAGATCAAAGTAATTACTTGTTTTAGTACCTTTTCTCTCATATATTATATATACACCTCTTCATTTTCAGCTCTTTTCAAAGGACAAGTCTTTCACTTTTTGTTATAGTCTTAAGCTAGTTGGTCATAAATCATTTAAAACCTGGCACATATGTTCACAGTTCCAAGTAGCTTTACAGTAGTCATAGTAACAGTTAATTTTTGCTGGATTACTCTTTGAAATAGTTTTTTGTAAAGGAATTACAATATTTAGTTTTATCAAAGCTATCTAATAATAAATTGTAAACTGAGCTATTCAGAGTAGATAAAATTTAGTGAACTAAAAAAAATTTTTCTGGTTAGTTGACTTGTTTCGTAATAATGATGAATTGGAACTATCATCTAAGTATGAGATATGCAATCAACACTAAAAATTATTTATCAGCTTATGAAGCTCATGATACAGCTGATAATAATTAAATTCTGACGATTAAATAAAATGTATCTGTATAGATTTGGTCTATTAAAAGTTGTTGTTGAAGAATGCACTTATTTTCCCCTCAAATATACCTGTTATGGAGTCTTGTTATACATCTCATCAATTAGCAAATAGTAAGTCATTTCCTATTTCAACTACTATTTCAACCAATTGTTGTCTCTGTTTTATTTTAATACTAGCTATAAAGGATAGTTTTCATGTTTTATGTTTAACACTCCTGTTTTTAATTTCTATCTAATTTTCACATCTATGCACGAATAATCGTGTATATTGTCACGTTCGTTTACTTTTTATCACAGAAACATTCTCACTGTTCCATGGATTGAATTGGGTGGGAAAACTAGCATCACATGCTTAAAAACTAACTATATAGCTAATATCGAGTTTCGAACAAAACCTTTTTATGGTGGTAAAAGAGATACTTTACGTGCTGAGGTTTTTGGACCTAATGATAAGAAGGCATTTCTTATTGTTGAAGGTGAATGGAATGATAAGATGCTAGCGAAGTGGCCTCATGGTGTAAGTGAAAGAAAAAAACAAAAAGCAGTTTTCCATTCACCTTTTTTATTATTTTGAGTTTAATGCACTATACTGTGATCAATGGTTGGCTGATTTCATCTAACCTGCAAGTGTATTGTTTCAGTGGATGTTTGTAAATAAGCGACGAAAGGTTCGCTGATACTGTAGAAGAATTTCAAACATGGAGAAATAATAAATGGAAGGTTCAGTAACCTTATGAAGAAGGCTCTTAATTGATTTTATATGCATACATGAAGTATGAAATCAGTCAGGCTTAAGTATATTTGAGTTTTATTCGAATTAATAAATAACCGTGGTCTAGCCTCAGCTCACCATCCGGTTTTTAAAGTTTTTCGCGTTAAGAGGCTAGTTTTAATATTTTTAAGTATTTGTAATATCAGCTTTAAATATATTGCTCTTTTAACTTATAATCTATTTCAATTTGGTTAACAGCTTATATTCCAGCGTTGTCACTAAGACCACATGTAAGCAACCTGATGTCTTTTTGGCGTCAGCTGTGTTATGCAGTGTGACGGACCAGTCAGTAACAACGTAGAACTTCGTACGTACGTACATCAGTTCGGGTTGCCACACCATATTGGCAGAGAGATTCAGTTTTCGATTCAAATCACGTGATGTTAGAAGTAGTAAGAGTATAAGCAGTTATCGGAAACATTAGAGTTTGAAGATGTTATTCAAGGATTATAATTCGGTGAAATAAGTGTGGAAAGAGAAAAAAAAGGGACATGAAGAATTCAGAAGATAAGAGTTTGAGAGAACACAAAGAGTGGATGCACCTGCGCCATTGCAAACGATTTTGAGCCATGTCATTCAAGGTCTCTAACCATCGGTTGCTATCGTCTCGCGGTCCCCAACCAGGTAGTCTACACCTACCAACATGACTCAGTCCACTTGTCAGTGACTTCATAGATTTGTGCCATGTTTTGGTCTGGCCGCCCCTAGCTTTCTTCCAACCTATTCCTACACCACAAAACATAGCACGTCGGGGCAGTCGGTGGTCGGGCATGCGCAGCACATTTCCCAGCCATCTCAACTGATTAAGTTTCACTACTTCATCAATTGATTTGCCATCCTTACCTAGTACCCGTTTCCTAACAACTGCATTACTTACTCGGTAGTCACAGGATATACGAGCGATGTTTCGAAGACACCTATGGTCAAGTACTAGTAACCTACGAATATCCTCTACTCTTACTGGCCATGTTTCACTGCCATAGAGTAGGATGGAATGAACTGCTGCACAGTAAACCCGTCGTTCGGTTGGTAGACGGATATCTCGCACAGAATTACCAAAGTTGACACACTTGATGCTAGTTAACAGTAACATTCCTGGTCTGTGATTACTGCAATCTTACACAAAGGTTTGTACATCTTCAATTTTTCTAGTCATGTGGTTTGATGAGGATTTTAGCTGTAGTTATTATTTTGTAATCAGCCTATCTGTACTTGTTGTTATAGGTCATTTATGATGAAGTACATAAAATTCAGATGTCTTTTAGAAAATTTTTTTAATATTGTAGAAAAATGAGTTATTCATTGATACCCGTAACCTACCAACTGTAAGAAAACATGTACTTCCTCGATCTCGCCAAGAAGAAAATGAATCAAGACGGTACGTTAATGTGATTTTGTTTGTTAGTTTGTCTATGGGGATAATTGATGTATATATACTTGATTAGTAGGGAATTTCGCATAACCTGTATTTACTTTTTGTCATTCGTATAGTAATTTAGAATATGGAGATTAAATACCGTCTCCCGTTGCTCAACTGCGTTCATTGTCGTCTGAATTATTTTAAACTCTCCTATTTTATAAAACTGGGAAACATATGTTATAGAAATTATTCTTCATTTAATTTAGCATAATTCACCTACCTGTTTCTCGTCATTCTAAAAATTTCTCTGTAGATTACGGTGAATTATTATCTGGCTAACTCATGAATGGTTTACACGTTAACACTTCTCAAACAAAAGTTCAACATAAAGTCTTATCTTACACTTATTATTCATCTTCTCAACTATTTCTTCCTGTCTATTTTGCTATTACATTCACTAGTGTTGCTTTATAGTTTGGCAACGTGTAACCTATATATTCTGACGGATGATGTTATTATCTGACTTTTATCATTCATTATTATTTATTCTTATGTTATTTTCAAGATTTTTTTCGATACTCAATCAACTCAACGAGATAATCGAAGGACTTTGTGATATCTTTAGTTGCTGCTAGTCGGTTGTATGATTCGTTCCTTTTTCTTTTAAACCTTAGCTTGTTGAGATCATGGAAGCGTTTCTGCCGTTCACGACCAAGTTTGTTACTAATGATTTCAGTATATATCATAACTTCAGTTCAGCATAACATAAAGTAAGGTTTCTTTGAAACGTGTAAACATATTTTTCATTCAGCGTACGGTTTGTTGAGAAATAAACACGATAAATAATATTTAGTACGTTTTCGGTCATCTGGTTACATGTTGTCATGTATAAAATAACAATATGAGTGGATTAGTGATTTTTTTGTAAATGACGACGTTAATCAGTAAACAGATAGTTAGTCTATCAAAACTATGAAGTCGATGAGTTCAGCTGCATAAATGTTTTTATATGTTTAGTTATCTTCTGTTAAGATTGATTCCGTTACCTATATGTATGCATACGTATACGACTACCCGGATGAAATTTTATAAGTTGCTCAAGAAGCTTTTTTATGTTACTTTGCTATTTTACAATGAATCATGAAGTATGCAGTACAGTGGGTTGGAAGGAATTATTTTATTCAATGTACATTTCCTAAATTCTTTTCAACATTTGTGTAGATTGTGGGAGGAAGTGACTTATAATTTAAAAGTGGGTAATATCGATGCAGCATCAGATGCTAAACATCGTTTGGAACAGCGACAACGAGATTTAGCTCGACAGAGAAGAGACTCAAAACATACATGGACACCAAAATACTTTCGCGAAGAGGGAGAAAACTGGATTTATAGACATCCTTTAGTTCAACGCCTACATCAATCACCCAATCAAAATAATTCTCCCACTGAACCACAAACCGTCTCCAAGATCACGAATTTAGCATGTTCACCGGATATAGTTGTTAATCCAGTTTCTTGTAACAACGCAGTGACCGATTCTCCTCAGATAGTCCATGCTACTACATCTAAGTCTTCAATCCCTGTAATTGAATATTTCCCCAGTCCATAGTTTATAACTTCATATGATTTTAGAAATTACAGGTTTTTCCGGTTTATCACAATTTATGTAAAGCTTGACAATAATATTTGTTTTGCTCAAAGTGGAGATAATATGTTTTTTTGAGATCTTTTTTCCTTCTTTAATATCTTTTTTTTTACATTTCATTGTCTTTGTTCTTCGCACTTATTTATGTTTCCTTCAAAACCAGTTTCATGAACGACTTTGACTGCACATTTCTCTGGTGGTCTTACACGTATCCTCTCTTTTCTATCTATAATTTCTTAGATGGTGCTTGGATTGATTGCGTATTCATTCCATAATAATCATAATGCAAATGATATTATCCCCCTTTTGGTTTTCTATTCATCTTGAGTTCTTTCTCTTATATTTCACTTTTAACATTCAATTTTGTTATTTATTGTTCACTTTTCTAGTTTGATTCTTATTTTGAAACTTTTATTAAAATGGATGCATTGTACTACCATGTTCTTCTTTCTCATCTACTTTCACCATTTTTTTACTTTTAAGCTTCTTATAACTTGTTCGCTTGTTTGTTACTTTCATTCTGTACAAAGAAGGTCAGTAAGATGTATAAGATGCTGTGACTGTAAAATAATTACGTGTGTATCATATGTAAACAAGGGTTCTATTATTTCTCTGTATGATCATATTTGTTGTGTATTATGTAATTTGTGTTAACCTGTCGAGGTCGATAACTATTTTCAGTATTTAAATTTTTCGAATGTTTGATTCTATTTTTGCTAACTCATTGGTTTCTCAAAAATCCGAGTTACAACGGTTACTTTTGTTTTCCATTTTAAAAATAGCTGTCTACAGAGATCTGACTCCACTCTAGTTATATAAAGCATAATGTAGATATATTCTTCTTTGTCTCAATAAACACTGTAAGAGTAGATTTGTTTAGATAATTTAGTGCATTCAAGTTACATAAATAATTACGTTTACTGTACACATTAGCCTAAGAGTCGATAGTTATCATAGAAGTGTTTTAATTATATGAAAATGCACTTTTGATAAAAGTTGTGGTCTTGAGGCGGCTACTCAGTAACTTTGTTTATATCTCCTGATTTCATTTGTTTTGGGTCTATATGGATTAAAATATGACTGACAACTGAAAAAGGTCGTTACTTGAGGCTGGGTTGCTGAGCACGTAAAATGAATTAGTTTTATTAGCAAACATCAACTATCAGAAGTTGTTCGTTGAGACAATTGTACATACCAAAGTTTAACCACTTTTCACTCAACTCCATCTCTCAGTATGTTTTCTAGATTCGTGATAGAGTATTGACTAATACTTAGAAATAATGATAATAGTGTTTTAAACGCTGATGGTTTCCCATGCAGTGTGTGAATATGCCAAAAATAAGTTGACATTAAGTGTTTTCGGCGTCCATTCAAGGTACGGAGTAGTATCAGTAGACGAGATTCGTATTTGGTCGGTAAATCTCCAACCACGCAAAATGTCTTATGTTATGATGAATCTGATAATCCCACATAAATAGATTTCAACGAATATTTGTCCTTTGGGTGAGTTTGATTTTGTCAAACTGAAGATTTTACGTCGTCCTAACATTTGAAATGATTTCGGCTGGTGACGTAAAGTCACCACGAAAGTTAAAGACTAGTGGAAGTAGGCTTCACTTTTAATGTTTTTCGGTCGTTGTAATAGTATTGACGTATTCGTTCGAAATTCCGTTGTTCGTAAATAAAATTTGCATGTGTATCGAAAACGGTTTCAAAAGATAAATGATTAGGATCTTAAGATTTCGGGAAAACTCAGTGGTACCACTTAGTTTATTAGGCATAGAATATTGTTGGGACATCATTCACTGGAGCAAAACACTCAGGTGTCATCGGATTAACAGTGTTTGGTAGTCGGAAGTTACGTGAGTTCAGGGAACGAAGTCGCATCATTTGGCTGTCAGCACTCTGAATTCTTTGTTCTCAGTTTTCGTACTTCAATGTAGGACTTTCCAGGTTAATTACTTGAGACGTTTGACTAAAATACACCCGACCACACAAGCTGTGCTAGTTGATAGGCAATTTTCAGCTAGTAATCACAGATTTGTTTTTGTAAACTCGGTTCACTTTTATCAATCCTTAAGCATTACGAGAAACATCGGAACTTTTATTTGGACGATGTTTTGTTATTTAAGATGGTTTTGATTCACAGGGTTCATCTACAATGAGAGAGCTAATGAAAATAGAAGTGGATACAAAGAAGTGAATTAATAGAACCAGTGAACTTTTCTGATTAGGCAGCACCAATAGTGATTGTCAAAAAGCCAAACGGAAGTATCCGGCTGTGCGCAGATTATTCAACTGGATTAAACGAAGCGCTTGAAGCCCATCAATAGCCTTTGCCGGTACCAGAAGATTTATTTGCAAAACTGAATGGGGGTAGGTATTTCGCGAAATTAAACCTGTTCGAAGCTTATCTACAGATTCCAGTGGCGGAAGAATGTGGGCATTACTTGACAATAAACACTCATAAAGGGTTGTTCCGATATAACAGACTTCCTTTTGGAGTAAAAACCTCCCCTTCAATCTTCCATCAAGTCATGGATACTATGTTACAAGATGTTCCTGGTACTGCGGTCTATCTCGATGACATTCTGATCATGGGTACAGACTATGCTGACTTAGAGAGTAAGGTCGACACGGTGCTCAGACGCATAGCATATTGTGGGTTCAGGTTGCGTGCTGAAAAATGTGATTTTTACATGGAGCAAGTCCGTTATTTGAGATTCATAATCATAAAAAACGGGAGAAAACTTGATCCTGAAAACGTTGAAGCCGTCAATTCCATGCCCCCACCGACGGATGTATCAACTTTACGTGCTTTCTTGGGAATGGTTAGTCATTATGACGTCTTTCTTCCAGATCTGCATCGCCTTCGTGCTCCTCTTAATTGCTTAATGAAAAAGGATACCAGATGGTTCTGGTCAATCAAATGTCAAGAAGCATTCCTAAACCTAAAGTAGCTTCTATCATCAGACCTTCTACTTACACATTATGACCCAGATCTTCCAATTATAGTCGCGGCAGATGCGTCAAATTATGGAATCGGGGCTGTAATTTCACATACCTATCCTGACGGGTCTGAGAAGGCAATCATCCACGCAGCAAGATCGCTGACCATGACTGAAAGAAACTACAGTCAAATTGAGAAAGAAGCTCTCTCCATCATATTCGCTGTAAAAAAGCTCCACAAGATGCTGTATGGCAGACATTTCACCATACTAACAGACCATAAACCGCTACTGACAGTTTTCGGATCTAAAAAAGGTATCCCTGTTTATACAGCAAACCGTTTACAGCGATGAGCAACTACGCTACTGGGTTATGGTTTCAAGATAAAATACCAACCAACAACCGACTTCGGACAGGCAGATGCCCTTTCAAGGTTGATTGATTCGCATGCAAAACAAGAAGAGGACGTGCTTGTAGCTGCCATAGATGTCGAGGCTGAATTTCACAAAGTATTAACAGACGCAGTTTCCGGACTCCCGGTAACATTCGAAGCCATCAAAGAAGATAGAAAGAAGGATAATACATTGAAGATTGTTCACCGCTGCATAGACAACAAGTGGCCTTTGTATAGACTACATGGCGAACTCTTACAATATTTTCGTAGACGAGATTCCTTAACAGTGGTCGACTCGTGCATCATGTTTGGCCACCGTATCGTTATCCCCAGAAGTCTTCGGCACCAAGTCATTAAGCAATTTCACAGCGGGCACCCGAGGATAAGTAAAATGAAATCACTAGCCCGCAGCTTTGCATACTGGCCGGCAATGGACCGTGATATACAACAAAAATGTCGCAGTTGTTGGTCCTGTCTAGAGGCTGCGAAGAATCCAACAAAAGCTGAACCACAACCATGGCCAAAACCGGACGGGCCTTGGCAAAGAATACACGCTGATTTTGCCGGACTAATACAAGGCAGAAATTACTTAGTTGTTGTCGACGCTTTTACAAAATGGCCAGAAGTATATGATATGCCGAAAACGACATCAGAGAGTACAATAAGAAGATTGTCAGGATTGTTTGCTTGTTTTGGGGTTCCAGAGATTTTAGTGACCGATAACGGCACTCAGTTTATGTCATCAGCTTTCAAACGCTTTTGCGGTGAAAATGGCATATCACATCTACAATCTCCTCCGTACCATCCTCAGTCGAATGGCCAAACAGAAAGATTCGTGGATACGATAAAAAGAGCTCTGGTAAAGGGGAGAGGTGAGGGTATCCCAGAACAAGTGATCAGTAAGTTCCTAATGTCTTACAGAGTTACCCCCAATCCGGCAGTACCAGAAGAAAAGTCACCAGTCGAGTGTATGTTCGGAAGAAAAATTCGGACAGTCTTCAACAGTATGTTGCCACCTAGAAAGACAATAAAACTGATGAATGAGTATCGTACGATCACTCGTAGCTTCCAGGTGGGTGAAAGGGTGCTTGTCAAAGCCTATCAAGGTAATAGGAGATGGGAACCAGGTGTCATAGAACGTCGAATCGGAAATGTACTGTACCTAGTCCGGAAGGGTGTCGGAAAATGCATAAGACACATAAATCAAATGCAAAGAGAAAGCAGTACAGTGGTCCCTGGAAGCCGGCTCCCATTTCAATTGCTCGAGGACTCACCTCAGAAAAGCCATCATGAGCGCAAACATAGAGGAGGCAAACGACGCAAGGGGAAAGTTGTACAACCCCCGAGAGTGATGGACTGTAAGAAGAATGCGGCCACAAAATTCCAGGTGGATCCGAGAAAGAAGTCTTACACAACGGACTTTAAAGGAGGGAGGTGTGACGGCGGATCACGGGTTAACTCGAGGAAGCTATAAGAGGCTCAGAAGGAGCCGAAGATATTCCATCCAATCACCGTTAGGAAGGATATTCTAGAATCCCTACGTGTAGCTTCCCGATTGGACAAGGCTAATAGCCCCCTGTATGCGGATTGGAGGACTATAATGATGATTTTTGTTCTTACT